ACGCAGTGTTCCGTTGGATAATGCAACCCATAACGTTCTTTCGACTTATTAAATTTTATACAATACTGTTTCAGCTCATTGAATAGTATAACTTATAATATTCTCTCGACCCGTCGAGGCTCCCAACCAATCAGAAAATCCTTAGGATTCTTATTTTTAGCCCTTAAGCTTTATATTCACAAAAAATACTAAGCATCTAAACAAATGCACACATAGGACCCAATTATCACCTTTTCGGTTTGGTCGGTGAGATAGATTGAGACTTGCTCAATAAGACATTTTAAGCAATGATCATTTCCTATAAAGTCTATTTTCTTTCTCTTTTAATTTTACAATTAAGTGTAGTGCAAATAATAATTATTGTTTTAGTGAAATTATCTAACAACACTAACAATTTCTTCTTAGGTTATTATTAATTGATTAATAACAATAAATCCACATATTGGCTATAGCTAGGTAGGTTCTTCTTTAGCATTCCTTAGAGTTTGGTAGCTCAAATTTATATAATCAAATCCTAATTGTACTTGATTAATAATGTAATCCTTTTGAAGTGGCTATACCTAGACTTATGGATTCTACCTAATGCATTTTTTATTTCAATTATCCCATATAGATATGTTTAATTTAATGGCTACTAGCTAGCTCATATTTAACAATTTAATTATATAATGGTAAATAGCTATTTAGTCCTTCAGATTTATTCATAGTTATAAGTTTGTCCCTCTTGTTTGGTAATATATATTACAGGTTAAATACTATGTATTATTTGACTATTTGATCCTTCACATTTGATATAGTGTTATTATTTAGTCCTTCGTATCTAACTATTGAACTGCTTTCCATTCCCTCATTTAACAGTAAGAATTATATTTTCTGCATGAAAAAATTAAATAATTTAATTGATCTAAACTTCGGGACTAATCAATATCCGTATATTTATCAAACAAAATGGGCAAATTTGTTATTATAATTAAAATAGAAGGATTAAATAATTATTTACCCATTTATATTAACCTTTGTCAATAGTCATGTAATTTCATATTGATCTCTGTTTAATTAAATTGGAAAATATAACTTTGTCGCATGTTGCATAAAATCTAAAGACAAAAACAGTAACATTTATTAAATAATCCATTTGTTCCAAAAATATAATGAGTTTAATGTTTTTCACTTGAATTAAGAAAATAATTAATTCTCATAAATTATATAAAACTAAAAGTAAATTAACTAAATAATCTTTTATTTCAAAATTAAAAGTAATTTATGAAGTTAATTACGGTATGTTATGTAGATAGAATAATATTAGTAAACTATTATTTATTACTCTTTAAAATATTTTATATTCTGTGACAAAATAATCATTTAAAAACGAATTATATTTTAGTACGGAAGCAATGAATGATCGTATTTCTATTTGCATGCTTGTTTTTATTATACTCCAAATCAAAATGTAACATTATCCAATTAAAAAATTAATAAAGAAAGATCATGAGAATGATTAATTAATTAATGACTTCTACTGTGACTGTAAGTTTCTTAATTCGTACATACAGCACATGCAATGATATGATTGGAAAAAGAGAATTAATAATTCACACTGAAAAGTCGTTAGTGTTTAGTGAACATATCATGCTCCACCATCACTACATTTCAAGTTCCAAGAGATGTGTCCAAAATAATCCAAATAATACGTTATAGTATACAGTATATATACTGTATATGTTTATAATTAATTAATTAATATCTAATTTTTAATAAAAAAAAACCCTGCTTAATACAGTATATTATGTCTTGTTCAATCTTTCCCTTCATTTATTTACAAGAAAGCCTTCAAATAGTCAATTTCATTGACATATTTGAGTTGATGGGCCAACCACATGCCTAAATTTTTCAACAAAAACAAAGTGTCTAAATTTGGGCTTATGCCCTGGACAAACCGGCTTGTCCATGCCTACAAACTCTTTCCCCATCCTTAATTAGGCTAATTAATTATTATTTAGCCTCTAATTATTGTATTAAGTCTAAAAAATTATTGTATTTAGTCTGAAATGAAATTTCAACAACTTTGGCTGCCTACTGGGAGAAAGTAATTGAATGGGTAGAAGCAACTAAAAAGAAATAGTGAAAAGTCCAAAATTTCTTTAGGAATTCTATTTCAAGTCTTAAAGACTATATATGGTAGACTTTTAGACGCCAACTTCGATCTGCCAGCCACCTACATTTATATGTCAAAACCTAATTTAAGGTCAAACAAATTCTCCAGAACACAATTTCTAGTATAAAAATGACGGTGGATGACATGCGTATTGAAAATTACTATATCTTCAATGCATATAAGCATATAAATATATTAATATATTGAAATTTATGTTTGAGTTAAAATATTAATATATTGGTTGATTCAAAAGTATTCTTTGAATAGTATGATTTGCTTGCAAGTAATAAATTCTAAATATGGGAGTCAAAAAGTTTATTTAAGACTATAGAATGGAAATGAAATTGTAAGGTACGTTTTTTTTTTTTTTTTTTTTTTTTTTTAATCAATTGAAATTTAATGGTTCTGAGTTAAAATATAATTATTGGTGATTCGAAAAGAATCTCTTTGATAGTATGATGTTGCTTGCAAGTAATAAAATTCTAAATAGTGGGAGTCAAAAAGTTATTTATAAGACTATGAATGGAAATGAAATTGTTAAGGACGCGTTTTTTTCTTTTTTTTTTTTTTTTTTGTTGAGGTTTTTTTTTTTTTTTTTTTTTTTTTTTTGTGGGAAGATGTCAATGATCAAAAATGAAGAAGAAAGAGTATAGTCTAACAATAATAGGTCCTTGTGGAAAGCTGTAGTCACCTAATATTGCCAACATCCAAGGAAATATGTCTCACAAAGCCCTTGAAATTCAACTAGTGATTGGTTTAGTCACAAGGGAACTAGACACTTTGTGGGGCACAACACAGCCTAGCATTTTATTTCCCAATTATTTATTTATTTATTTATTTTATTTTTCTCTCTTCTTGACCCTTAAACCCATCAATATATATATATGTGTGTGTGTGTGTGTTAGAAAAATGCACTAAAAGCTTTTTTTAGGTTAACAGATTTGGGGTCATAACTGCTAGAAATTGGTTAGTAGGTGGCCTGGCTAGTTTTGTGGGGCAGTCACGTGCCATATATAACTAATAATCGTTATATTATTTGTAATAAGATCATACAAGTACTAATTTGTGGGATCATACAAATATGCAAATTAGGTGGAATAACCCACACTTCTTTATTACACTCTCAGATTTAGGTTAACGGTAGATGTATCTACGGTCTGATATTGATTTACTGCTTTTCAAAAAACAAAATTATGGTGCAGAGATTTTAAGGGTTAAAAAAACATACAGAAGTGGAAAATTTGCAGTATAGGGTAGATGCCCTAATGCTATAGTCCATATAGGCCAGCTTACCTTTGGATGGTGGAAATGGTTCATAGAAAACGACTTAGATATGTGTATAGCTTCCCTGATAGGCTGATACTATTGGGCTTTATAAGTTACGTGGGCACCAAATGCATATGCTCCTTGTATATAATGTGTTGTATCTTCTTCTCACTAGCTATGAACATTTAACCTTACCCAATTCATTTATTAAATGGGTCAACTTAAGATTTTATAATTTAAGCCGTTAGAAGAGAAAACTAATCAATTTATTATTATAAATATATAAAATCAGAAGGTAGAATTTCCTCGGATCACAGAGAATTTGTATTCACGTGCTTACAGAAATTTAACCGATGCTTTGTTGATAGTTTTTTCAGTTATTAATGCTTAACGGTGAAATTTACTCACTTTCTACCATTTCTAACTGAAATAAAAAAATATAACAAAATAAAAAATGACCAGATACGTCTAATGAGATGATGTCGTACGGTCAAAGCCTCATGAGACAGCTTAACTTTTCCTTTCTTTTCCTTCCGTTATACAAGGAGAGCACGAGAGGATTCGATGCAAGGACACAACAATAATAATAGCTGTCGTGTTAATATAGTACAGTACAATGAGTCATTGGTTTCCCCTAAACGTTAGGGCTTTCAATTTTATAGCATTGCCATTTTCTATCCACAGGAATGTTAGTTACTGTTGTGCTTAAAACGACAAAAAATGTTTCGGTGAATTGGCTGTGTCGTTGGCCCATTTAAGCCTTCGATCCGTTCTGGCTTCAACTATGTACTGAATAAAGAAAAGCCTGCAACTGCAAAACCTTTCTCCGCTACGGGCCAAAACCACAACAGGAACAAATATGCCTAGTCTTGGACTAGGTTGTAGCTTGTTTGACCTTTGAGTATAATGAACATACTTGTTGATGGAGAATCAAAATCCTAATTTTTTGAAATTGATAATAAAGTATATACATCATCAAAAAGCCATAGTTATCTTTTAATTTAACTGACCACAATCGGACATATAGTATTCTTAAAGTGGGGATAAGATGGACTTTTACAAATCCACCAAACATTTAAGGCAATTGCAGACTAAAGAGAGGGTCCTCAAACCGTAAGGTAATAATGAGAATTTAGACTTTAAACAGTATAAAATTTTTATTTTAGTTGAATTTTCGTAGTTGAATATTTAAAATATGATATAGAAATTTCAAAGAAGAGGAGACTATATAAATAAAAAAATTATTCAAACAGGGTGAGGAAAAGTGGAAAACGATTAAACGAGAGAGGTTGGTTAACGGGCAAGTTGGACACTGTTGACAGCCCAAGCCCATGTGATTTTGAATCAATCAATCAGATCTTAATAATAGGAAACAGTCCACGGGATAACCCGCAAGTTGAATATAAAAAATTATAAAAAAAGAAACAAAATGGCGTCGCCCGGGCTCGAACCGGAGACCTTCAGTGTGTTAGACTGACGTGATAACCAACTACACCACGACACCAACGCTGTTCAGTTGATTCAATAATATTTTATAATAAATAACAAATAATTGGTAATTTAGCAGTAAAGTAATCGCAGAGCCTCTGCAGAGCAAGAATTGATGTAGGAAGAGCCAAAATGGTGGTGGGCAATCCAGCGTCTCTTCTCACCATCCCCATTTCTTCAATTTCCAATTCAATCTCATTTTGCCTTCTAACTCCAAACGAGTCTCTTACAATTCAACCCCATGTCTCCTACATCTCGAACTTATCTAAGTCATTTTCAATTTCTTCACTCTCTAGTCTCCGCTTCGGTAACAATTATTCCCTCTCTTCTCCACAGCAATCTCAACATGCCCCTTTCAAATTCCGCTCTCTTTCATCCAGAAGAGGTAATCTTTTTTGTCTTTGTTCAGTAAAGAAGCGAAGCAAGAGCGGCGCTGCCCTTATGCAAATGAGCGACTTCGATGATGAAATGGATGATGAATTTGATGATTTCGAAGAGGATGGTAATTTGGGTGATTATGATGATGAAGATGATGGAATGTTTGTGCCGTTTGGGAAGATGAAGAAGTGGCTAGAGAACAAGCCCCGTGGGTTTGGTGAAGGAAAAGTGTATAACACTTCTACTGAAGACAAGCTGCTCGAGGAAATGCAAAAGAGTCAACAGGCACAGGCTGCTAATATAAATAATCTTAAGAATAATCCTGTCCATTCTGCAGCAAACAAAGACGTTAAACATAAGAAAGGTTTGTGCTTTCTTTTTCTTTTTTATCTTGAGGATGCTAATATATTGTTATTTAAACTTAATCTTTAGCAATATAGTGTGCCCCGCAATTTAGATCCTCGTACTTATCTTATCTATTTCTTTTGGCTGAGTTCCACCTGTAGAATTGTAGTGATAATTCTTTCTGCTTATCTTCTTAATTTGAATTTTGTGAGCTTTTTTATAATTATTTTGTTAGAGAAATCTGTTCTACAAAAAATATAAATAATAGACAATCTTAGGCGAGCTGTGATAACCAGAAACCGGATACTTCTTCTGGTAAAATGCCTTGAGCAAAAGATCAATGTGAACAAGGAGTTTCCCTTTGCCAATGCATTATATATGGTTCTTGTAGCAAAGAACGTTTTTAGTGGACTGTAGGTTAGAGTTGCATAGTCTATAATAGAGGGTTTGACCATCTGTTCAAAGCTAGCAGTAGAGTCTGTTCACAAGTATATCACGAAGTTGGCATTGCTGAAAAGTGGTGTCAAGAAAACCGAAGGTCTCATCTTTTCAATTACAGTAATTTTCTTTAAGACCTTGGCTCTTTCAAGTGCAACTGAAAATATTATATCCAAGTTTAGTTATGTGGCATCGGATATCTTATGCTAATATTGCAAATGTTCCAGTAGGATTGTTTTTTAATTCAGTACGATTATGAATTAGGCTTCTATTGTTTGATCTGGACTCTTAAAACTGGAGGATATTTCACTGGTTTCAGTGGGCAGCTGAATTTGACAACAACCACCGGAGCAGATTCTTTTATCAGATGTCACACCCATACTCTTGTATTCTAAGTTTTGCAGAGGCATAGAGCTGCTAGCTTCTATTTTTAATTTACGAAACCTTAACATAAACATCTGACTAAGTCTATTTTGCCTTTTCGTTTAGATATTTATCAATTACAATCATATGCGTTACCACCTGATTCTATTTCCAGAAGCCCGAACATAAGTAGATGTCTGTGGTTATGGCATATCCTTGCAAATCAATTTTTACAAGTATCTGTTATTGGATTTTCTAAGTTCTACTTTATTATCCCACGTTGGTTGGGGACAAGATCTTTAGTCAAAATATAAGACTTGGGTGATCTTCCTCCTCTTGAGCTAGCTTTTGGGGAGTGAGTTAGACTTGGTCCATTTTATTAACATGGTATCAGAGTCTTCACGCTCCAGATGTTCATGCCTGGCTGTGTGTTATCCAACATTGGTTTGGGACAAGTTCTTTACTCAATAAGTTAAGTACAATCCATTTTATTAAACATAATCTCATCAGCCAAATAAGAAAAAGGAAAGGTAAACAGATAAAATGCTTCATGGATTGTACCTCTCTTTTATGTTTGTGGAAGCATATTGTGGAAGCATATAAAATGCTTATTGCACAATCCTGGAATTGCATTACAATATTTGTAACAGCTATTTCTCTGTCATTACTTTGGCACTTTGTGATGTTTACTTCTCTGTGTTAAACTTGATTGTGACTCTGCTCCTCCATGCTGGATTCATGCAGCACCTGAAGTTGTACCAAGTGGCATTCGTGTGTGTGTTGCAAACCTACCAAAGAAAAAGAACATACAGAGAGATCTGAAATCAGCATTTAAAGAAGTCACTGGTGTTGTTAATATAATCCCAGCTGTTTCCGGAAATAAAAAGACGAAGGACCCTATTTGCAAGGGCTATGCTTTTGTTGATTTCAAATCTCAGGAAAATGCTGATAGGTATATTTACTTTTGGAATATATAACTGAATATCAAAAATAATATAATTTTGGTGGATGTCAATGTAAAGGTTTTTCCTTTACACGGGTGGAAGCTTTACTTGTATAAAAACTTGTGTGATGGATGCCAAAAACATGGTGACAGCTTTGGGCACGAAATTTACATGAATCATCTACAATCTTGTTTATACCAGGATCATTGCTATATTAGGGAAAACAATTTTAGAGTGAATATATTGCATGTAGGACATTTTGTTTTTACATGCATAGATCATCTCACTTACACGGACTGAAGAGATCTAAAATTCACTCTGTATTTTTTGTGAAATGTTTTCTTTCATGTCAGGTTTGTGCGGCAATTTTCTGGACAAAAAGTATCATTTGGCAGGATTCAGAAGCAGATAAAGTGTAAAATGGCAAATTCTCACTCTAGTGATGATGAATCAGAAGGCAACATCTACTCTGGTTCAAACTTAAATGTTCATGCTCCGCAAGAAAGCTCAAACACTTATTTTGATACGGATGATTCATACATCGAGGAAAATGTCTCTGATGTACCTGTTGACTGGGGCAATGAACTCGTAACAGCAAAATTGGAGGATGTGATGCACAAAATGGAATCTTCCAACACATCAATCTTAAATAATGATGATACTGTAGAGCCAATATTAGAACATACAAGCGGTTCATTTTCCCCGAAGAAACAGGATAAAAGCAGGACTACTAAGAAAAATATTGTTATGAAGGGGAGAGGAAAGAAGGTTCCCAAGATGGAAATCCTAGGATCTGCAAAGAGGTATTTTTTGCATTAAGCAGCCTAAGTCTTCTGTGTTTTATCTTTTCTGAATAAATATTTAATCATTGTCAATCCTGAACCAGGTTAAAGGTCAAAGAGAAGGCTGTCCTGAATGATGTCTTCGCTAAATACAGGTTACAATCTCCTGTGTCTCAAGGAAAGAGAGCTGATTCATAACATCCATTTCAACTTACAGCCATTCGAGAGTTGACAAGGAAGCGGAGAATACATATCTCTATATTGGTCTTGTATGCTCCTTATTTTGTGGATTGCAACAATTTTAAATTCTAGGGCTCAATTTGAAAATCACCTCAAATATTCAGGGGGTTGTGTAATTACTCCATTGTTCTTTTTTCTTTTTTGTTGATGGCTAAAACTAGTTCTTCAAAAAACCTTGCATTTCCAAAATGAGCGTGGCTTTTCTTGAAAATGCATAAATATTATTACATGTATAGTCTTTAATTTGATATTTGGGTAATTCACGCTCCTTAAGAAATTTATTAATTTGTCTTAATTACAATAATTATTGAGTGAATTGATTATACTATTTTTAATTTATTTAAATTACAATCTGTTATTGAGTAATTGAAATAATCACTATTAGTTATATACAAAGTGTAAAAATGAAAAGAATAATTTATTATTTGTCAAATTCATAAATAAATATGACAAGATTAAAATTTTCGTTAAATTTGACAGTTTTTTATTCTTCTTTTTTGTTCTATTTTTAAAAAATTAAAAATAGCATTAATTATTTTATTTCAACTTTACCATATATGCATAATGACATTAATTAAATGGTAATTTGGTCAATCACATTTATTTTTAAACTACTATCATCTTTGTTCCATAATACTTATTATATTTGAATTTACATTCCTTTAAAAAATCATTAAATTTGTTTAAATTATACTATCTTCGTTTTATAATCCTTGTCAAATTTGTGGTTTTAAGAAGTAAAAAATATTTTTTTGCCATGTTTATCCTTCATATATGACTAATAATTATTACTTCAATTTAATAATTTTCTCAGAAAATCAGTATTAAATTAAGGAAAATATAGTCAATTTACTTAATAATTTAGTGCTATCTCTGTTTAATACTTATCACATTTGGAATTTCATATCTCTTAAGAAAACCATTAAATTTATCTAAGTTATAATAAATTATAATATTTATACATTTTGTCTGCATACATATTATAATATTTTATCTAAGTTATAAATAAAATTATAATATTTATACATTTTGTCTGCATACATATTATATATTTATAGTAAAATATTGACTTTTAAAAACGACCTAATTAAATATACTTATTGTTTTATTTCAATAATTTATTATCATTTTTTTAATTATATTATAAAAAAAAAATCAATAAATTAAAAAACCATTAAATTTATCTAAGTTATAATAAATTATAATATTTATACATTTTGTCTGCATACATATTATAATATTTATAGTAAAATATTGACTAAAAAACACCTAATTAATATACTTATTGTTTTATTCAATAATTTATTATCATTTTTATTATATTATAAAAAAAATCAATAAATTATATTTAGAAAAAAAAAATAAAAAAACGAATAGAAATAACAAGTTTTAACGTAGAAAACACGTTGATAATACTAGTATTGATTAAAAGGCAAATAAAGCTTTATTAGATTTCACAATCGTAAAACTTTTTAACTCAACTATAATCAATTATAACATTGAAAAACCAGGTGTAGGCCTTAGCAGGCCCACGTCATACCATACAAATTTAGGAGAGAAATTCGTACAGCCGTTACCCTTACGATCAGCTCAGCCGACCCAAAAGGCAAAAACCCATCCAAAACCCATTTCCCTCTCGTTCTCTTTACGGCGTGCGCGTGCATTGCAATTTGCATTTGCAGGCTTTGCTCTCTCGTTTCTCATCAGTCATCACAGTTTCATCAAATTGTCCACTGGTAATGTTCGATTAAGCTTATTCATATCTCTTGTTTCTTGCTTTATGCTTAACTAATATTAGCGTAATTTTCCACCGTGTTTGGTTGCTGAGAAAATACTATGAAAAAGGAAAAGATCAGATTACTGTATTTTAAATTAAGCAATTCTAATAGAATTTGTTTCTCTACCAGATAATCTGGCGAAGACTACATTGTAATGAACTGCTTGTTGCGTGTTTCTTCGTACACTGCGGCTATATTTCGAAGGGCAAGCCATATCGTTTCGACAAGTGCTTCTCATCAATGTTCTACTGCCTTGTGGAAAAGAAGCTTTGAGCAAACTGATCTTAAGATAGTCAATTTGGAATCTGTTTTGCCTAGATTTCGTATTCAGTGCTACTCCTCGAAAAAAGGTAGTGTAAAAGGTTCGCGTAAGAAGAAATTGGATCCTGAGCCAGGAGTTATGGAGCAAGAGAAAGAAAAAGATGCTTTCTTTGTCGTGCGGAAAGGCGACATCGTTGGCGTTTATAAGACTTTTAATGATTGCCAGGCTCAAATTGGATCATCGGTATTCTTTTGATCTTTGATTCTTATAGTTCATAGCTTGTTAAAAATGAACTCATTTTCTTTATAAATGTCCACTCACTGCCCATAACTTCACTTGGTCATTTTGCGCACGATTCTTTTAGCAACACTGACCAGATTCACAAGAAGAAATCAGAAATTCCTATCTTTTTCTTTCTTTTTTTCTTTTCTTCTGTATTTCCCCTTCATTTCATTCCCTTGCTTTGTTGAATTAATTTGCAAATTACGGTCAATTCTAGTTCAGTTTTGCGGCATCTCATGTTAGCGTGTTCGATAATCTATTAGCCACTAGTTTGAGTGTAGTTTTACTGCTGTTTAGATACCGCCTTCCCATTTCAATGGTATGATTATATTGGATATTTGTGCATTTTTGTCGTTTGTAGACGCATCATTTTGTTAGTAATATTGCCCGCAGGTTTTTGATATATACTAATGCATAGGTATTAATACATAAATTAATGTTACTCATGAAATTCAATTAAAGTGTTTCTGAATGATTTCAAAACTCGATGATTTTTAAGCATTTATCTGCAAATGATATCAATTTACCTAGAATTTGACTATATTGCAAGTATGATAAATTGCATGGAATTAAAGATAGTATTGCAAAATGAATTTTCTTAGATGACAAACATGTTATGTGTAGATTTGGGAGTGAATTCCATAAAATTTTATAGAGTACGTTTGTTCCAAACTACCTCTAATGAAATGTATTTTTCATATTTACCTTTTGGGGTTTCAAGTTGCTTTTGGATTACTTTCTTTTCCTGTTCATCTGACTAGGAAACTAGGATGCTATGATCTATCACTCGTTATTGATTGATTAGTACTATTTAAAGGCAGACACCAGTATAATGCCATTCTAAACAATTGTGTTTTCACTGTTTCTTGCTGCTTTTTTGTGTTTTAGTTTAAGAGCGATGCTAGGTAACTGTAAGACAAGCTAATGCAGTTTCTTTTGTTGGATAAAAATGTCTTTGGATGAATTTAAAAAATGTTTAAACCTTTCTATTTTCCTAGGTATGCGATCCCCCTATCAGTGTCTATAAAGGGTATGCTTTACCTAAGGACACTGAAGAGTATCTCATTTCTCGTGGGCTCCAGAATGCTTTGTACACTATCAGAGCTGCCGATTTGAAAGAGGACCTTTTTGGGACGCTTTTACCTTGTCGTTTTGAGGTAAGTTGACATATTAGATTGGTGTGAATGGTGAATTAATTTATATGGTAGTCAAGGATGAACAGTTTTTTTATTGAAAACTTTCATGTTCTTTTGCCTGTCAATGGTGCTTGAATAAGATTCAGATAGGTGACCTGTATGATGAGAAGTTTTATTCAATATATGATTGCAGCAACCCATTTCTTCCAAAGGAGACTCAAATATGCAAGTTGCAACAACAAAAAAGAGACCACAGAAATTGGTGGGATTGCAAGCTGTGGTAAGTTTGGAGTTATATCTTTCTTTGAATTGCAGAATCATTATATAAAAATTAAAAGTGGACCTTATGTTATCTTTTTCCAATGGAAACAACCTTGATCATCTTTTTCTCCTCATCTTACGTCTGTGTGTGTGGAAATTTCTTTAAGGAATGGCAGTTAAAAACTTTCATGAATTGTGATCCTTCTGCTTTTGTGGGTATATCATATGATTTAGCTTTGATAAGTTCATTTGGCAAATTTCATTGGCAGGAGGATGCCTCTGTAGTAATCATTGTTTTTATGCACTTTGTTTAGATGCATGTTTATTGCATCGCAGGAAACGGACGGATCAACATCTAGTTTAACTGATCCCTAGAGAAAGCACGTCAAATTGGATAACTGTGTGTATATAATGGATCAATGTCTAGTTTAACTGTGTGTTTGTGATAATTTCTTTAAGAAATGGCTGTTCGAAACTTCTGTGATATGTGATCCTGCTATTTTTTTGGGTATTTCTATGACTTAGCTTTGATAATTTCATTTAGCAAATTCTGCTGGCAGGTGGATGCCTCTTTAGTAATCATTGTATTTACGCACTTTGTTAAGATGCATGGTTATTGCATTGCAGGAAACAGACAGATCCACATCTAGTTTAACTGATCCCTTGAGAAAGCACATCAAATTGGATAATCAAAGTGAGGCTCAGGTACCGTCTTCTGATTATGTATGCAGATGTCATGTTGAAGCCTGATGGATGCAAATATATTTCCATTTCTAGCTTATCATTTTTTACAAGTTGTTACTATAGATAGTGAAAGAGTCACTTTTGAGTAGTCTTATCAGGATTGGGACTTTGTGAATTTGGGAACAATAACTAGCCTGATCCGTTATTTGCAGCAGTCCTGTATTCTCGAGTTTGATGGTGCTTCAAGAGGCAATCCTGGACCAGCCGGGGCAGGAGCTTTATTGCGGACTGCTGATGGAAATGTGGTATCCACTTTGGCTTTTTGTATATCCTTTTATCTTCTATTGGTGGTTCCATCTTACTGAACCTCCGATTCATATAGATCTGCAGATTGCGAGAAGGATTGGGTACAACTACGTGTAATGTGGCTGAATATAGAGCTGTGATTTTAGGATTGAAATATGCTCTTAAAAACGGCTATACAAAAATCCGCATTCAAGGTGACTCCAAACTTGTCTGTTCCCAGGTTGGTTTGCCTTTTTAATTCTACATCCCCTTCCGCTGCTTCATCTCTTATACTTCAGTTTTCTATATTATATTATTTCTATGGTGAAAGTACTTTTTAGTCCCTGAGTTTTGACCTAAGTAACTAACTTGTCCCTCTGTTTTGGTAAACCCTATAAGTATCCCCTTCCGCTGCTTCTTCTTAGTTTTCTTGTATCTTCATTTTTCTATATTATATTATTTATATTTTTCTATATTTTATAGATTGTTCTGAGTGGGTTTGAATACCATCTGTTTTCAGCTTAGTATTCTTTTTCTCGTGAAATTTCACTTGTGATTGAATAGTTATCAATGCATAGAATACTGCATGCATAGCTTTGTTTCTTGTTTCTTACCTTTTACCCTGGGGAGTAGGATTGGGGGAGTGGGAGGATGCAGTGGGCTGGGGTTTGGGTCAGTTTTACAAGTAGATAAGTCTTTTTATAGTTTCAAGTTCAATCATGGTTTTTCTTTTCTTTCCTTGTTGAAGATAATAAGGCGAAATCAGTGCATCTGCTAGATTCTTGACCATAATGCATGTAGTTTTCAAGTCTGTCTCCCAGTCCCAGCTTAGATTAATGAGGAAATATTTGGAATATATCAAATTGCCTTTTTCTTTTTTCTTTCTTTCTTTTTTTTTTTTGTAAGTCGGAAAAAAGAATGATTTGCTCCAGTCTGACTCAGAGGTTAAAAAGCTTGGGATCCATGGTTCAACTGTCCAGTTTATGTTGCATTTGTTTATCCAGTGGATGATCTTTTGTTTTATCATTGATAATCCTAGGTGTTGTGCAATCTTATTTTCAAATCTGACATGGAAAGTATGTAACAGGTTCAGGGTCTATGGAAGGTCAAACATCAAGATATGACCAAGCTGTATGAGCAGGTCAAAAAGCTCAAGGACCAGTTTATTTCTTTTGAGATCAGCCATGTCCTAAGGGTATATACTGCTTGTTATAATTTTTTTTTTTGTGATTTGTGTCATATATCATGTGTTACTAGGACATGCTTTTATTTGCTAGCCTAATAATTACCAGAAACCTTTTCTATGTAGGGTAGGACTGAAGAGGGAGTAATATCAGAGCCTTCCTTGTTAACATCCGATGTTAATTAGATTCCCTATCATTCCACTGATCAAGTGGCTCATCCTTGAACATTTTGATCTGTCAATATGTGCAAAAGTGCCAAAGGCTTTGTTGTGCATTATTTTGTTCAGCCACAGCTTTTGGCTGAAAGATTAAAAGAGCCTCTGCATATCTGGGAATCAATTATAATTATTGTGAATCAGTACATTCTGAACTAGTTTTTATTCCTCCTATGTTTAATGTGTTTCACAACTACGAGCTCAATTACTATGCTAGCTTGTGCACAATTTGGTTTTTTGCAAGTTTTTAGTATGAAGATCTGCCTAATTAATACCGGAAATTGATATTCATGTCTTGCAAACAATAATCCAAGAGCTAGCAAAGCTTGAGTGAGCTAGCTGCCCTGTCATACTGCTCATTTCTCATGGGAACATAAAAGTAGAAAAAGCAGCCTTTACCAAGAGTTTGAAGAATCTAAGGAACTATTATTACTAGTAGAAAAGTTGAGGTTAATTGGAAGTGTGCAATCCACTACTGGTGCTTCTCTGGCTTTGTCTTATCATTCTAGTACGCTGACCTAGTCTCCTCTGTATTTCACAGGAATTTAACTCTGAAGCTGATGCTCAAGCCAATTTGGCCATCACTCTTGCTGGTGAGGTTGCCTGTTTCAACGCCTTCTGCATTTGAACGTTTTCCAGTTAGTATTTATCAAATCTCTTTCTGATGCAGATGGCCAAGTTCAAGAGGAATGTGCACAGTGATAGAGATTGAATGGTGTTTTCTCATTTGAATTCAATTTCCTTTTATCAAAAAAAAAGTCTATTACAGGATTCAATTCATTTGGAGATCAAACTGCCAAAGCAAGTGATTTCTCAACTTACAAGAATTGCAGCTTTATCCTTTCATGGATTTGTGTTGTCTGTCAATTACTCAATTTCATGTATGCTTAAAGGTGTACATCATATTCATAGATTACAACTTCAAAACAACTACTAGATTTTATATTTTTATTTGTTCTCCCAAATTTAATGACAATTGTAATAATCAGATTAAATTCCCTTTGCATAAAAATGCCATTCACTCCATCGCACTGAGAAGGCTCTATGCAGCCTACAAATCCCAAATTGATTCTGATATTATCTGACGGCCAGGGTCACATCACATACGATTTATGATTTTCGTAGGACCTTAATGACTAACTCAGAACTTGCTTGCCAAGAAAGGTACACTTCAAAGTTCCTTTCTTTGGGGCTATTCGACTCGAGTGTGGACAACTCGGTTTTCTATCAAGATTTTAAATACTTGAAAAGGAAAACAGCAAAATGTTCCTGGCAAAGCTTCAATATTGGACAGCTACGTCTACACCTAGAAATGCTCAATTTTTCTCATCTTCTTCCTCCTTCTCCTCCTCTTGTTTATTAAAGTGTTCCTTGTTTTCTTCGTTCTCTTCCTCTTCATTTCCTTTCCCGTCACCAACGGATATCGTTTCAGATACTGCGGCTGCTGTTGCTGACGTTGTTCCGGAAGCAGAGGATCTGCTCTACCCAGATGTATCTATTTCTTCCACCGTGAAACCGGTTACAGCACCCACTCTCCTTCAGCCACGCGTCGTCGTCTACGATGGGGTCTGCCATCTCTGCCACCGAGGTACTTGATTCCTCTCTCACGGACGCTCTTTTCTGGTTTTAAGGGTTTCTTATGTACCGCGTGGATTTGGACGGTATTGCCTTCTTTGTGGTTTAAAAAAAATAAATAAATAAAAACCCTTCAATACTTGCTATGTATTTGTCAAATACTGCATATTGCATGAATGGACAACTAATTTGGAAAAACAGTGTGTTTTATACTCTTCTTACACCCTTTATTCCATGAAATTGTCAATACACAGTGTGATCACTATGAAGTTTTGTGGTTCTTTTTCGCTATAATTCCAACACCGATTCTAAAGGCTAATTTTTTGTTGATTTCGATCAGAATATCAATTTACATCCATTAATTGAGAATCATTATCAACTTTCTTCTGTTCATCAACTTCAATTGTTGTGCTTATTTCTTTGTTGCTTTGCTGTTCTTTGATTTGTTGTAGGACAGTTCTGGCATGTTAAACAATGGTCCTGACTTAGTATTTAAAATTTTCATGATTTTGCAGGCGTGAAGTGGGTGATTAAAGCAGACAAATATAGGAAGATCAAGTTTTGTTGCCTCCAATCAAAGGCTGCTGAGCCATATTTGAGACTGTGTGGTCTTGACAGAGAGGATGTTCTTCGTCGCTTTCTGTTCATTGAAGGCCTTGGTCAATACCACCAAGCATCCACTGGTTAGTTCTTTAGTTTAACTAGATATCTTGTATGTAAAAGGTCTGTTGTTTTGTCATTTATTTATTTAAGACTGGTCTGTCTTTCTTGCTTGCTTGATATCAAAATGCATAATAATGTTGGACGCTTGTGTTTTTAGCTCCACATTTCATCATCTGCTCTTTTCTGCACCTTCGCTATTAAAATTGAGCAATAGTGATATTCTCTTCAATTCCATTTTCTGTTTTGCGAACAATCCCTTTCTTGACATAATCCAAAGCCTTGTTTGTTCGAATTAGTAAAAATTTCATGTATACAAGGAACGTCATGTGCGGAAGCTTTGTAGAATTCACAGCCTTGGGTCCTAATTAGTTTGGTTTCTCAATTTCTATCAATTTATCTCATACCAGCACGTCCAAACTTGATACATCACAAGTCAACAACTATTGTGTAATGTTTCTCTGAAAGTGGGGCAGATATTAATATAGATAAACACTGCATGAGGTTTGCTTCCAATCTTCCTTTTTTCTTAAGCATGATAAACCTTTCCATTAGAAATTTGAAGGTTCATGTCATTGCAGCTGGAACGTTCGAATATCTTTTCTGGTGTATTTCAATTCTTTGATATATAAACTTTAAAATATTCTTATAGAACGAGCTTTCCAATTTTTTGTCTACTGGCATATGCACTTTATTGACAATTTTTTCTTCTATTCTTTTTTCATGCTCTTTACCGGGGCATAAAAATTTGAGGTAATTGCTTTTTATGACCCTGCAGCTGCATTGAGAGTCCTTGCATATTTGCCTCTGCCATATTCTGCTTTAAGCACACTCTTGATAGTTCCAACTCCACTCAGAGATGCTGTGTATGACCACATTGCTCGACGACGCTATGATTGGTTTGGAAAAGCTGAGGATTGCTTGGTTTTGAAAGATAAAGAGTTGCTTGAGCGGTTCATAGACAGGGATGAGATGATAGATAAGAGAAGATCAGATAAGTAAATTTCAATCTAACTACATTTTTCCATTAAGATGTTTTGTTGATGTAACATCAGGGGAAGTATTAAAATGTGAAGGCATAGCATTTTGTTATTAAATGGAAATGAAGCTTTACATTTAATTTTCCTTTTCACAACTGCGAGAAGCTGAAATGAAATAGAGGCTTAACACTTGTGAAGATACATAGAGACTTGTGAAACTGAACCAATGAAAATACAATGTTATCTACAGTTAAAGAAGAGTACCAGCAATGCTGTTCAAAAGAGTCTCCATAGTGAGACTCAGAGTTGGCTGAAAGACATTTATTGTAACCAGGTCTATTCTCTTTTGAAAATTTCCAAGCAGCATTCTATGCTAAGGTTTTTGCAAGCATATATTGATGCAAATTCAAATTCAAAATTAAAGGAATTGTTAACAGTTTCAAATTCATGCAAATTATTTCAAATTCGATAAGCTCATCGGTTAACGGAAAATCCTTGACAAGCGTGGATGCAACAAGTAATAATTTAGGTTTAGGAAAACTATTAAATATAGTTCCTCATTACAATATAAGACTTACTCTGATATAAAAGAAAACAGAAAACTTATTAAAGAGACAATAATATAAAGCCAATCAGGTGTGTAACTGGTCTTTTCACATTTTATGGAAGATGTGAAAACTGGGAGGCCAATCGAATTAATTGATAAATTACGAGTCACCAGTGATCAATAGTGGTGGCATTAATAAGAAAATTATATTTATAAGATTATATTAAAAAACAATGGAGTTCTAAAGTTCATCAAAGACTAATTGGCAAAAAATTCACTATGAAAGTAAAAAAGAATCACCATGAAAGAGAAAAAGAATCTAATTTAATTATAGCAAGATTTTCATATGGAACATTGCTAATACTATATTCATATGTAACATCGCTAAACCATTTATTCCAGTGTTCCATTCTACTTGATCTTCCAAATAGTGGCACTGCAGCCTTTACATTAACGAGTTCAAAGACCAAAAACAACAAAACTTTAACTAGAATTGTAGAGTTCTGCCAAAAGGAGAACTCTCCAAAAACAAAACTTTAACTAGAATTGTAGAGTTCTGCCAAAAGGAGAACTCTCCAAAAATATGCGTATGCCGCTATCAGCGGCGAACAAAACTTTAACTAGAATTGTAGAGTTCTGCCAAAAGGAGAACTCTCCAAAAATATGCGTATGCCGCTATCAGCGGCGAACAAAACTTTAACTAGAATTGTAGAGTTCTGCCAAAAGGAGAACTCTCCAAAAATATGCGTATGCCGCTATCAGCGGCGAACAAAACTTTAACTAGAATTGTAGAGTTCTGCCAAAAGGAGAACTCTCCAAAAATATGCGTATGCCGCTATCAGCGGCGAGCACACGGTATTCTTTAGTAAAAGGCGAAAGAATAGTTCGCTCTGTGCTCACCGCGCGGCTGCGTGATTTGAGAACCGTGGTTGCGGTATTTCATATAGCAGTCTTCATGTGTTTCTTTTGTCTATTCAAGCGATGTGGGATATACACAGTCTCATGTACTCGTTACTGTTGGGCCTTTAATTTATGGGCCTAGTGATAATCAATCCTTTAATCAAATGCCAACAGACCCAACAGTCTTCACAGAGTAGTAAACTTCCATACAAAACCAAGGTATTTCCAATTTTGACACATGGCGTTGGCCCAATGTTCAATTCATTTGTGAAATGCAAAAAATTTATTTAACCCTTCGGTACATATTATACTTGCTTTAAGGAAGTTCCTTTTAGGGGTAATCCTCCAAAAATAGGCATAGCTAAGTAGCCTCGGCCTAACAAGAAAAAACTTGGACTAGCATTGTTCGGCTACCCTTTTAGGGGTAATCCTCCAAAAATAGGCATAGCTAAGTAGCCTCGGCCTAACAAGAAAAAACTTGGACTAGCATTGTTCGGCTACCCTTTTAGGGGTAATCCTCCAAAAATAGGCATAGCTAAGTAGCCTCGGCCTAACAAGAAAAAACTTGGACTAGCATTGTTCGGCTACCCTTTTAGGGGTAATCCTCCAAAAATAGGCGTATGCCGCTATCTGCTGCGTGCACACGGTATTCTTTAGTAAAAGGCGAAAGAATAGTTCGCTTTGTGCACACAGCACGGCTCCATAGATGATTGCTTACGACTTGAGATGCTTATATGAAGTTCTCCTTTGTCTATTGTTTGCTTTTCTTTCGATGTGGGATTATTCTTTGAATGTAACTAACCATGAGGCATGTCTCTTGGGCATAGTTTGTTCTACTCAAGCCTCAAGCTTTCTAAACTAGCATATGGCTTGTCAAACTCTGATTCTTGCTTGGCCCATTTGTGATGATCTTGTACTTATATTGTTATATGTGGATTGATCTAAAGTATTTCAAGAAAAGTGACTTTATGCTTGAGCAACTTGTAAAAGGACCCAATGTCAAAAAAAAAAAAAAAAAAAAAAACTTGTAAAACTTGTAAAAGAAAAAAAAAAAAAAAAAAAAAAAACTTGTAAAAGGACCCTTGAAGAGTCATCAGCTTTCTTGTCCATTACCAAGTTATGGTATTTCACAAAAACCTACCTTCACTCACATCTATCAAGATAACATGTATTCTCCCTCTCCATCCAACTTGTGAAAAGTAGAGATATTTTAGAAAAACCTATCTGCTTTGTAATAATAAAACAAAATTTTGGAACTTCTGCTGCTATGTTATTTATTAATCAAGATATCAGTTACCAGCAAGTTAATATTTTTCCACCAAAAAGGTACTGCAAAATTACAGTTCGCATGGTACCTTAAGTTTATAATGGACTTCCAAATGTAGGTAAGTCAGATTGTATTTGGCAGAAGGAAGATTAAGGTGCAAGAAAACATGGGATAATTTGTCAAACATTTCATGCAAAATTGAACAGCTCAAGCTAGCTGGTTCAAAATGCCAAAAAGAAAAAAAAAGAGAGACCTAGCAAATGAGATGGCATTATGCAATCTCATGGTACGGTACAAATATGCATATTCCCTTCACAATCATCCCTCTATAAAGCATGGTTAATTTTGCCTTTCCATGCATCATCAGGACAAATTATTAGTATCTTGAAACTCAACTGATTGATAAGCCTTTTTCAATTGGAGTTACAGCTGCCGAACAGAATCTCCTCTTAAAATGGAGATTATACAGTTCGTCTGTCAATTACTGTCACCTCCGGTCCACTCTTTCCAATCCTTGTCAACATGATCTTGAGCCCATTTGACAGCTGCACGTGCAGCTTGAGGTCCTCCAGGCAAACCTCGTTCATTTATAGTATCAGCCATGTCAATGAAAGGTGTGACTAAGAGTGTTCCAGGACCGCCATACTCTGTGTGCAAGAAAGTACTGAATATCTGTATAGAAAAATACAAAAAGCAACAAGCATATTTTAGCGCCTGTCTACTCTGTCAGCAACTTTATCCATCAAAAAAGAAAACACCTTGAAATCATGCTCAAATACGCTAGCAACAAACCAACAGGTCCATAGTTATATTTCAACCTTATTTAGTGCAGGGTAAGCACCATGTTAATAGTTTTTCATATTGTTTACAAGTAATACAGTTTTCTCGTTGTTTTCAAACGTTCATAATATATTGGGATCAGCATCCCATTTTTCTACATTTTATCCTGGCAAATCTTAGTATAAACATCCTCGGCCCTTTTATTGGTAGATACAGTTTCAAACCACATCCAAGTGTCATAAGCTGCTTTTTCCACTCTGCACCTTTTATTTTCTTTCATGATGCTAACAATCAGAGAAACCACTGAGGAACTTGGCAGTCAAAAATGAGAACCCATAAATGCACATTCAAATTGCAAAATTATTTCAACCTCAATAACCTCACCAACTTCAATGTAAGTTGTTTAAGTATTTGTATTATACCATTTATGATATAAGTGCCGGTTAAATGACAAACAGGACAAAGAGAGACCAATATTGTTAAGATTCATGAGATTATACTTATATAAGGCAGGGTGTTTCTGAAGTAAGACAAAGTCTTACTAGGTTAGACCGAAATGCCTATATGGTCTTGTTTTTGGTATCCCACTACACCCATCCTACTGTCGAAACTGATGCTAATTATAAGCTGACAGACTATAAGCTCGTTCAGCATTGGGGTTAGAGACCTTCATTGTTTTAAAATGATCATTTTGCGTGTTATCCGAAAAAGCAATTTGAAACTAATATTTAGCAGCTTTAAAATGTTTATTATAACCACAATACATCAAATTAAATTTCAATTTAATTCTTCATTAATCTTAATCAACATATGTATTCAAGAAAGTGTTTTTCTTTTTTTCATGGCAGCTGCATAAAAAAGGGCAATATCTACCCTACGTCACAATACCACTTCGAAACTGCATTCAACACTTCTGTATAAAATTTTTATAAAGGCATTCTTTCCAGCAATATATACATTCACATTTGAAAGTAACAAAATTTACCTAGCAAGAGAACTTTAGACTAAATAGATAACAAGCCAAAGTGAAATGAGCTCAATATATGAGGAAAAAAGACCAGAAATTCTGACAAGAAAGAAAGAAACCATAAAAGGGAAATTAAAATCACCTCAGTGCAGATTCTGACGACGTCATCAACTGAATCTCCGCATATATCTTTCTTTACAAGCTTTTTATGAAGATGGGTCCTAAATTTCTCTGCCTCCTACGACAAGGATAAAGAAAAAGAATGGCGCCCGATTAGTAACCAATTAAGCACACAAAATAGACACTATTAAATTAAATGCTTACAATAGTAAAAAGTGGACTTACTGCATCAGCGAATTCTGGAATTGGGTCTGGAAACTTGTATTCTCCTGCTCTGCAAATTTGTTTTCTTTCCTTGTTCTTGCAGATTTTGCTGATTGAAGAGTATAAACAAGGCTGTGCAAGTTTGATACTAGTAATGGAATCAGCTGCACAGAAACGTGAACCCACAACAGGTGGAGTGATAATGGGAGAAGAAGTGGAAGAAGAGAAGATAGAGCGCGAATCAATCGTTAAAGAAACAAGAGTTCTACTCCAAGAAGCCATATCTTGATGCCTGTTTTTGTTTCTCTGTATTCTTATCTTTTAACGTTGCCTGAAGGGTTTATTTGGGCTTTGGAAGAACATTTTAACTTGGTCAGGTGCCGGTTGGTAAAATATTACAAACTTGATGGTTTCTTTTAATGCTCAGTTAGTCTAAAAATTAATTTTTCTTTACAATTACCACCACCACTTTATACCAATAATTAAAAAAAAAAACCCCTAATTTTTCCCAAAAATAAAATAAAAATAATAAATTTTACTTTTAATTAATAAGAACTATTTATTTTAAGAACAAAACATCTAGATATCCTGGAGGATCAATCTCCTTTGTTCATCCCCTTTAGTTCGAAATTTTATTGAACCTACCGTAATTAGGTTGTTTGGCCTCATAACCAATTTATTAATCCGGATCTGTAACTCTTCTTTAAATATATGTTTGGCCCCTCATAACCAATTTATTAATCCGGATCTGTAACTCTTCTTTAAATATATATATTATATATATATAATATATAATAACTAATAAATTTCATGGTAAAATATAAACTATGTTTTTTTTATTTTTGAAAAATTGGTTGTAAAGTTAGAGAATAACTAATAAATTTCATGGTAAAAAAATATTAAAACTATTGTTTTATTTTATTTTTGAAAAATTGGTGTAAAGTTAGAGTGGTAATTGTATAAAATGTTGATTTTTGAACGAATTATGTAGCAAATTAAACATTAATGGTTTCTTTTATGAAAAACAATTCATATGGGTGATGGGTTCCCTTTTTAAATTTTATTTCAATTACAATAATCAAGTTCGAAACAATAAACAACAGTCAATCGTTTGGAATGCAGCAGTTAGTTTCCGATAACCCCTAAACCTAAGTGACAGTTTTATATTGTACTGCTAATTGTTATTTTTGGACTTTTGGCCAATCCACGAATTACAATTTCGAACAGCCAGTGTGCAATCCATTTTTAACTTATGATAGAAACCGTAAGGTGATCATGCGACATCACTGAATAGATTGTCCTATAACTTGATTTGCATTTTACTAAAAAAGATTCATTTACAGAACTTCGTAATTCAAAAGCTATATACATTAGACTATAATCAACAAAAGATGCATAATTTGGAGCTACAGCACATGTTAGAAGGACTAAAAGCTCGAAGAGAATCTCAGGATTGCTTTCCATGGTAAAAAACCATTAATTTGAGCCGAAACTGATCCTGGTTGTACTTAGTGCAAGGTAGAGCTTTTTGGTCCCTCCTAGATTCGTTGATATGTAAAAACAAATATGTACAGACTATATATACATCTCAGAGGTTCCTTTCATGAGGTTCAAGCCAGGGGAACCCCAGGAAATCAAAGACCTCTTTTTCAGTGTCAAACCTCAGGCTTGCAGTAGCTTTTGCACCCTGCAAGTGAAATAACAGTTCCTGCATAAGATAACCCGAAAAGAATTCCTAGGTATAAAATGGTGAGAAGCTAGCTCATTACCCGTTTGCCACCTGAAATAGCTGGAAATAGCCCAGTGTCATCCAGCCTGTATCCTTTGGATTCTGCTAACAATCTTAACCTACACTCAAATTGTCGTTGATATGTTCATACAAAAGGGTTAAATATTTTCAGGTTTCAACTGTATGTACAGTCCATTTGAAATCAGGGAATACCAATATTCCACTTCAATTGAAGATACATTATCTATAAACAGAATAAACCAAGAGACTCTTGTATGATGAGAATTGTATAGAAAAACAAGGAATTCTTTTTTACTCTCTATCTGGGAGTGTGCCTGATTGAATTTTAAAGGTTAAACATACCTCCTGTTTAATACATCATTCCCAGTCCACGCTATCAAACCAAATGCATATATGTCCCTCGGATACACCTAAGAAAAAGAACGTACACATAGCCAAGTTAATTATAACTTCAGTTCGTAATCTAACAATGAGAACCAGCACAGGCACAAAAATGATTGCAACAATCATGGTAAGAGAACTAGGCAAATCAAACCAAAAAGTGTAAATAATTAGAAAGACTAATAACAATGAAGGACGAGATTTTAGAAGTAAAATAAAGATCAGAATGGGAGCTTCCACTGATTATCAGGTTTACCTTGAAATCTATTCGATGTCGCATTTCCCGTCCGGGATATGTACAAAGACCAAAATATGTGTCAACACCAGAGTCAGTGCCCTATTGAAGAGCAAAAGCATAAATTTAGATTATAAAAGAGTCAATATGGTGCTGCCTACTGTAGAAATATGAGAGTAGTAAAATGCAAGAACTAATTGAGGCCTGTGTAATTCAATTTACTTGTGTGATTAAAACAGCAAAGTTCATAGACACTTCCAAGTCCCTACTCCGCTTAACTATGAATTTGGGCACCTATCAATTTGGCCCACATAATATATTTCAATACACTTAGGATCCCACCAGCAAGCTTTAAAAATTCTAACAGATTATAAGTTTTAGTTGATACCAACCGCCAAGAGGTATAAATATTCTTATCTTGACTCACAGAAAGTGAACTCAAACATATTTGCATATTTAAAGATTTTTGAGTACTGTTACATTAAGAAAACAACAGCCTTCTTCAATATGCTACACAAGGAAAAGGATAAAGAAATACAAGAAATTCCAGCAATAGGAAAGATACCTGTTCACTGTGAACACTAAATACCAAGTCCTCTCTTAAGAACTTCATATCCTTCAATTTCTTAACGTATCTTGGTAAGAAACCTTTATGACTGGAAAAGCAAAGAACATAAAATTTTGTTATAATTAGACTTCTCATATTGCTGAATATCCACAAAGAATGCTAAAGTGCCTCATAGTGGGAAAAAACATTGTAAACAATTTGAGAGGTTGCCAAGGTCCTTGAAGATGTGTGCTTTAGCTAAGCCTAATTAGTAAGACCCCGCCATGTGTTGAATTAGTAAGTGACCATGAAATTAAACGGTGTTATGAATGATCACTAGAGAATCATTTAATTGTTCTCATATTTTTCCATGAAGTTCAGCTAATCGCAGACCCAGCAGTCTACTTACTACTACTATACATGTTTATGGAAAAGTGATAATGCAGAATAGATGAATACTCTCTGTGGACATGGGATATATGCTGAGACACATGCACATGCATGTCCACACTTATAAGAAGCACGAAAAAATTTTTTGAAAAACTGAAGGGCAAAGATGGAATTTTTACCTTATCCCATCAGGGTGTGTAATTACCACATCCAAATCCCCACAAGATGCCTTTCCACGTCTAAAAGATCCTCCACATATGATAACCACCTTCAAAGCAGACAAAAAATATTGAAAACAGGAACCAACTATACCAATATGAATGTCAAAATTGTGACCATGAAGGTTTAGACCTAAAAGTAAGGTTGTGACGGAAATTTCCTCATCAGCATCCAAACAGATAGCAACAAGACTGCTGAAAATGGAAGCTCTAAATGAAGCATCATCTTTTGGAACTACTTAGACCATGCATAAAGGCCCAGGCATCTATTTGTTGTAAATTTTGGTATCATATTCCCTCAAAGATAAGATGAACAGGGTACTCAGTCAATAACACTTGCAAGCAAGCATTCAATTTTCAACATCACAAGTTCAAGGAAGGAAACAAAAACCTCAGACACCATAATATCTAATTCCCTTATTGAGATTTATATTAACTCTTTTGTTTGGTATAGATTTTTCTTCTGTTCTAGATAATGGACATTCGGACACCTTCAAGGAGCAAATATAGTGTCCCCCATCCTCCTTCCAGAACAACAAATTGGTAATCGCCTAATCAGTTCTCTCAAATCCCAAATAGTATTTTCTACTATGCTTGAACCCAATACAAGTTACCAATTGATTAATCCCTTGCAGACTTTTTAAATTCATTTATAAACCAGTTCAGGCAGAAGATATAGAGTCTCACCCCAGGCAATATTTCTTCACCAGATTTTTGCAGAAGTTGTTCCATTTCTCGAACCTGCGCAGTAATGTCAAAGTTCATGGCACAATCCAACCCAAAATTTGTAAAGAAAACACCATAAAGTCCCAGGGAATAGCATGATAATCAAACCTCATTTCGCGGAATCCTTGTCTTGATATCATCAAAATATTTCACGCCTAACTTCTGTGAATGCGTTAATGAGTCATCATTTTTAAGATCATCTAGGATGCGATGTCCTTTCTCATACAACTTTAAGGCAGTGGCTGGACCGACACCCCAAACTTCCCCAAATAAAGTAATTGTCCGCACCTGCAAATTGTTGAGAAATAAACTTGTGTGAAAATTAATGGGAGAAAGCTATCAATTAGCTATTTATACAAGCTGTAATCAACAGGTGAACGTTGATTTCTCTCTCTGCACATAAATGCATGCTCATGAATGTGCATCTCTGTATGTAATGATCATGTTAATCATACAACATTGTTCACCGACAATCAGTGTAAAGGACCCAGGAAACTCAAATTCTATGTATTAAGCATGTATTTGTTTGTAGCACGTGAATCCCCCTGGTCGTATCTCTAAAGAGTGAAAATCTCTCTCCCCGCAACTCTTAGCAATACGGTAACAGTAATGCATGGTCACATCAGTGCACATTCAGACCGTGCAGGCACATTCATGTATGAACCTGCATACTAGCGAATTTCAAGGGTATAATGTGTTTAACTGATAAATTTAAGAATCCATGTGTATATATGTGGCATGCACTTGTGCATGTGTGCAAACATAACTGCTAACTGAGATCTATTAGCATGCGATGTGACCACATGATAATCTATAAAGAAATCAAAATGAAACACCATCTCCTGTCTGCTTTGTGTGTATGTGCATACACGATTAATTACCTAACTAGGGTTTTTGATGTGGTTCCACAATACCTTTTCATCTGTTTCAAAATGTTCCAACTTGGACAACTTGCCAGTAGTCACTATCTCCTGTATCTGCAAGCACATCCCAAATGCCAGAAGTAATTCCAAGAGAGAGCAGAGGAGGAAAAGATTTGTGCTCAGAAACAAATGCATATGCTTATCTCATAGCTCCCATAACTTTTAGATTGCATTCATCAATTAGATAGTTCCAAAGATAATATTTCAAGTCTATGAAATTAATAAATGCACTAAATGAGAATAAGACTCTTCAATGGGCAAAGCATGGGTAGATATTGCATATTTTATGAGCCAAATCAAATAAATAAAAAAGGAATAAGAATATTGCCATAAGAATCATGACTCAATAAATGCACTTCCTGGTTAAAATTTTTACACAGCCCTGATAATAGGGAGAGAGATCAAGTTGCTCCATAATATACACTTAAAATGAGGAGAGGTAAGCAACAAAGCAGATAGTGAAGGAAACCTTGTAAACCAAGTAAACTAGTTTATCGAAGTAACAACTTAACCTTAAATATCCCACTCACATGATCCTGCAGTGATTTTCCAATCCCAGGTAGATCTTTGACCTGATCTGCACTTTCAATTTTGAATGGCAACTTCTCAATAACTGAAATAGCCTTGTAATAGCTAAATGACCTTCGATCATCACCCAACGCTTCCCATTGAAAAGTGAACACATTGCATCAGACAACAGAAACGGCAACAGGGGCCCCCCCAGGTGGGTGGGTGGCGGGGGGGGATGCATAACAGAAGAAAATAAGCAGAGAAAACAGGCTCACCCCTGTATACATTGATTAGTTTCCCAAAAATTTCTGTGATGTTCCTGTTTAGATCAGGTGGACAGTATGCCAATGATGACTGCAACAAATGGACCAGATCAGTACGTTTTAAAGTTCTTTCAACAGAAAAGGGCCTCTAGCATATTATCCATTATAATTTCTGAAGCTGATAAAATCATTCAGCTACCTCCCAGCACTAAGTTTACCAAATTTGACTGATTAAAAATTACATGCATGCATAGACAAGTAAACACTCAGAAAAACAACAAAAACAGAATTGAATTCCACATAGTAATCTAACTCATTGGTTACTATATCTTACATATTTGCTTGGACTGCTAGAAGTCTTTGGACTAGAACTTGTAGGGCTCAAGGTGAGGGGTGAGCCATCAGAACTTCTCGGACTATTGGGTGCAACATCTACAGCATTATTTTCTGCATATGCCCTAGCATCTGCTTTGAAATTTTTGGCATCCTCGAGAGAAGACTTGATCTTTTTCTGAGGTGATGATTCATTACTACTAGAAGTGTTTCCATTGGTTGATTTCCTTACCAGAGGCTTGCTTTGATCGCTTTTTTCCTCCAGATGAACTTCCACATGGTATGGATCCTCAGATACCTTCTCTCCTAATCTTAAACTGTCCTCTAGCCACTGATAAAGGAGCACTTTCTATAACAGATAGTAAATATAAACCTATCAGAACTTGAAAAACCCAAAATTAAGACCAGCTATAAAAATTCACGTTGACTCATAATTATTGAGATTTCAAAAGAAAATCTAAACCAATCACACACTTCGTCATTTCTGATAAAAAAAAGTGACCTGGTTTACAGCAATTTAAAATAATAAATCATATAGAAGGAAACTGTTTTCACCAATGGAATCAATTAAGTATCAAATTCTATAAACAATAGAAGCTGAAATTGAGAAACTCACTCCTCTGAATCGTTGTAACCGTTCTTTGTCCATTTGCTGGAGAAGCGCGTTTGAATTCATAGCAAAAACATGAGTCACCTTTTTTGACAGGCGAGTCTCAATAGTAGCTCCCATCTGTACCAACTTTTGCTTCCAGATCTTTTTAAATCATCAAGAAAAAAATAAAAAAATAAATTCAATTCCGTTTCTTAATGTTATTGACAATTTTCCAAAATAAACGGAGAGAAAAACCTGTAACCGGCGTGACTGAACCCCGTTTTCGACCAAGACGACGACCATTCCAGAGAAAATTCCGTTTGGATCAGGAGACCGCATTTCATTTTTAGTTGTCTTTCGCGCCATTTGACTAGCTGTTTCACTGTCAGTCTTGAAATAACTCAAAGCCTAGGGTAATACATATAAAACGGGGGAGCGTTTTCTCACGCAGTAAAGCCTACCGAAATTTAGATCTAAGGGTTGACAAGTGGACACTGTTCGTGACACGTAAAATTACACTTCATCAATTAATTTCAGCTTTGAAGAAATTTCACTTAGATTGGAGAGCTTTACCCCTAAGGGAGCCCTTCCAGAAATTCTCAATGGCCTGAGCCAAACCCAGGCCAATGAGGGGGTTTGGAAATAGTTTTCAACCAGCAATAGACGCGCCTCGGTTAGAACCTCATGAGCTGCGTCATTGCCCCAAGCGCAAAGATGAGTCTCGAATTCTCTAGCCTATCATTTTATTTTAGCTCGCCTTCCCTTACGTTGCTTTTTCTTGCGATATGGGATTCTAGCCTCTTTAAGACTTGGTTACTAGCTTGCCCTTGCTACAGTCCATTACTTTAAAGACATCTTGAACTTTTTTTTTTTTTTTTCTTACGTTGCTTTTTCCTTGCGATATGGGATTTCTAGCTCTTTAAAGAACTTGGTTACTAAGTCTTGCCCTTGCTAAACAGTCCATTACTTTTAAAGACATCTTGACTTTTTTTTTTTTTTTTTCGATATTTAAAGTAATAACAAAATCTAGGAATTTTCTGAAAATATTTATATTAAACTTCGAAGTATTTCTTGAACTTTTTTTTTTTTTTTTCGTATTTAAAGTAATAACAAAATCTAGGATTTTCTGAAAATTTATATTAAACTTCGAAGTATTTGACGATGAGATTAATTATTTTTGTCTACTGTTAAAAATTGTCATTTTTTATATATTGATTAATATATGTTATTGATTGATATAATATAGAAATAAAAAATATATAAAAAAGAATATTTTAGCAATTAGAAAATATTCTTTGGTATAAACTATCATATTTGGATTAGAATATTGATATAAATCATAAAAGACCATTCGTTTTTTTTTTCAATATGCTATGTTTTAATAACTTTCGCTTTTAACATTTCTTCTTAACTACTTACTAGCATGTAGTAGGTATTTGGTTTATTGTTTTAGGTATTAGCATTATATATTTTAACTTAAAACAATATAGTGGTAAAATAATTTCAATAAATAATTAAATATATTCTTAGTTGATTTTCTCATTAATATGGAAAGTGAAGGTTTTTAAATTTGAGTTATGTTAACCACAGAAAATATGATTTGATGTAAGAGTTGCAATAAAATAAAATAAATAAGTTTTACCCTAAAAAAAAAAAAGAATTCTGTTGACTACATTATGCCTATTTCTAATGCAATTCGAATCTGAATTGAATTTCACATTCAATAACCCACCAATAAATATATTGAATTTTATTTGATTAATCGGTTACCCGACAAAAGTTTTCACCGGTTAAAAATTGAAGTTAATTTTACCATTAGGTTTCTTTTTATGATAAATCAAATTAAACTTAATATCTAATGAGAATATGCAATTGATCTTGTAGTTGGATATATACCCTTGCATATATTTTATGAATATATTGGTAGTTATTTTTTAAAATTAAAATTTCTCGGACATTTTTTTTAACCTCGAACGTACTTTTTAAACACAACTTTCTCGCTTCCAATATTTGATCACAATTGTCCTTCAACATGAAATTTAGACAGAGAAATTAGAATCTGCCTGCCATAACTACAGATCCATCAAACAATAAAATAAAAATCAAACTTATATTAGTAGGGCGCGCCAGGCCCTTGCGGCAGTGCAACGCATATAAAAGGCGACGCTCGAGGATCCCAGTAGCAAGCTACTGAAGCTGATCCTCCCCTTAGAAAAATTAATTTAATATCATGTGGGCCAATGGCCCGCGTATCAGATATTAAACTGATAAGAACAGATACTACACTTGATCTTAGCCAAAAGGCCGAGAAAGGTATGCCTTTCACCTCTGCCCCCCACTCTATTTTATAATAGCTCGTCTTTGCTTTCTTTATTTTTTCGATGAGGGATAAAACTGCACTTATAAATTGGCTAGTGAAGCTACGACGCGGTGTACAATATGATTATTCATCTTGCAATTGAATTATTATCGATTTAATTAAAACTTAATTCTCTTCTTGGGCTTCATACTGAGGCATAAGCAATTATTCAAAAGTCTTCAGGAAGAATAGCAATTTCTCTTAAAATGAAATAATTTAATTGATCAAATTTATGAAAATATGATGAGTTTATTGGATTGCAACTCATAAAATTACGATATAAAGTATGAAATGAAATATTATTGTAGTTATAATTGAAAAAATTACGAGTGATTAATTAACCTGAGATTTCCATTCCCACTACGGCAGGGCTAGGTGAGAAAAGGATAATATATTGAATTAAATAAATATCAAAATTATAATATATGTTTTAATCTTATAAAAAATATGAGAGTATTGAATAAAATCATTTCCATAAATAAGGGTAAATTATTTAATTTGAAAAAATAATTTTTTATAAGATAAAAAATATAAACTATTAGTAAATCATAATAAGTGTTTTTCTATAGAAAATATTAAAATAAATTATTGAAGTAATTTAACAAAAAGGTCACAGTTTCAACAAAAACAAAGTCATATGAATTATAATAATTTTGTTTTAATTATTTTGCAAATTATTTATTTAAATTAATTGTATTACTGCAAGGAAAAATTTCTGTCCTCTCAAAATCAGAAAGCATTTTACTGGTAGTTTAAAGAATTCTAGGAAATGATGGATGATGGTTTAACACGGCTTCGTTTCGCCATATCCACAATTCCACATATAGAAAGCAGCAGATGGTAGGGGTTTATACTCTATCCTTAAACCCCGCCCCTGAAACCCATAATCTTCCCCTACCTCTCGCCTCTTCGCTTGCATTCAAAATCATCGCCACCAAAACCTATAAACAGAAACTCCAAATAGAAAACAAATGCTTGTCTGTCGCTCTGCTTCAATGCTTCATTTGTACAAACTATCATCTTCGTCTACACTGTTACTGTCACAATTGAAGCACTCTTATTCTTATCTCTCTAATTCTCCTCCATCCTCTTTATTTTTTCCATCGTCTTCTCTCAGAATTCGCTTCTTTTCGCTTAATAATTCCTATGGAAGAGGTAATCGGCGTTTTTCCATTTCAGCCACCGCTGTTGTCCCTGATAAAGGGGGAACCGACACGTTCTTCGCCGAAGAAGGCGTTTCGTGGGCTTCTTTGGGCTTATCTGATCGGCTTTGCCGTGCTATCTCTAACGCTGGCCTTGAAAGACCGTCTTTAGTTCAGGTTTGCTTGATTCCCATGTTTATAATCGCTAATAAATTTTGCCTGTTGATGGAAGTTTATAATTTCACTCTGGTTTTGCATATTAGGCTAACTCCGTACCGGCAATACTCTCGGGGAAGGATGTGGTAGTTGCAGCTGAGACTGGTAGTGGTAAAACACATGCCTACCTAGTTCCTTTAATTGACAAGTTATACAATCCACTGGACTATAATAGAGACTCCGTCTCTGATCAAGGATTAAACCCGTCAGATAGACTTTCTTTGGTTCTTTGCCCAAATGTATTGTTGTGTGAACAAGTGGTTCGAATGGCTAGTGGTCTTTGTGATGATAATGGCGAACCACTGCTTAAAGTCACTGCCATCTGTGGCCGACAGGTACCATTGCCCTTATTGTTATCATCCGATTAGAAATTTGCTACTGAAAGATGCCCTTTGTAAATTTTAAGGTTTATGAATTAATAAGAGTTGGTTGACTGAAGATATTTTGACTGCAGGGATGGCCAGTTAATCAGCCAGATATTATTGTGTCAACACCAGCTGCTCTTCTAAATAATATTGACCCCAAAAAACAGAGAAAGTTTAATTTTATTCGTCGTGTGAAATATGTGGTACTTTTCCTTCCCTCATTTTTATTATTGTTAGCCAATGGACCCATGTTTGACAATGGTTACTTGAGCAGTGATATGATTTGTTGATTCAATTAGTGGCTATAATTTGGCAGGTTTTTGATGAAGCAGACATGCTTCTCTGTGGGAGCTTCCAGAATCAGGTTATCCGACTAATAAACATGCTCCGTTTTGATGAAAAGCAATTGTCTGAAGTAAATAAATCTGGACATGAGGATAGAGTGGAATCAGATTCTGATTCTCATGGGGAGAATGGCTTGGAAGATGAAGAGGGACTTCAAAATGAATCTATCGCAGAAGAGGATGGAGATTTTGAAGATGATATTGAAGTTGACTTGAAAGCAGAAAGTGAAGCGGGGTCCATCAACAGAAAAGGCTGGAGGAGAGTAAGAAAAGATTATTTGCGCAGTAAGCAGTACATTTTCATTGCAGCCACCCTACCAGTTAACGGAAAGAAAACTGCTGGAGCAGTGTTGAAACGGATGTTTCGAGATGCCAATTGGATTAGTGGAACCTATCTACACTGTCACAACCCTAGGTGCCACATTCTATTGTGCTTCTTATTAGTTACTAGTTACTATTATTTTCTTTTTCATATTATAAATTCAAGAATGTATAACATGCAACCAATGATTACTGTTGGCAACTGTCAGATTTATTGAATACTAGTCACTATACGTAATGAACTAACATGGAAGATAGGAATCTAAATCTGCAGTAAACAACAAATTTCACATTTAGGAATTCTCTGCATGAAATGGTCCATGTGCATTTTCCTGACATCAGCTGAGTTACTTGAAATAATATTTCACATCATACTGAATAATGGTTTTATTATACTGAATAATGGGTTTATTATGCTCGTTCTCTATTCAATGGTTGCTACTCCATTTCAGTGCAGGAAACTATAATCATTGTGCGCGATAAGAGAATTGATTTTTCAATTTCTACAGATAATAAACGATGAATTATCCTTATGCTTATTAAATTACATACTTGTTTCATGAACATTCCGATTTCTGTTACACTTCCGGGAACATTACACTCTATTTGCACTATATTGCTCTTGCAGAAAACTCTTAGCCTTTTGTTCCAATGGTTGAATACACAGTAGGGTGATAGCCTTTAAAACGCCATAACCCTGATGCGACTGGTATTTAAATGATAATTTTTTGCCATTTCTTTTAGATCATGATGCCTTTCCTTGGTCTTATCATCTTAATTTTGAAGGATAACACTGTTTCTGATTTGTTTTTTGACTTCATTCTGCCATGTGGCAATAATGAGTTAGACTTTCCAATTTGAACCACTAATTAGTAGTGATCTCAATGACATGCAAATGAGTTGTGATTTGTCTGCTTTGTGATTGGACTCCAAATTTTATATCATCATATGAATTTCTAAACACGTAACTGCTAAATTTGTTAACATCATTACTCTACATTCTGCTCAATTTCGGCCTATTCCATGATACAGCAAGTTGATTTTGTTGGTTATTCATGGTTCTTTTCCTCCCAGGTTGGAACATAAGTGGATTGAAGTTACAGTTGATTCCCAAGTGGATGCACTAATAGATGCTGTGAACCAAGGATCTGGATCTGATGTTGGTGCAAGTCGAACTATGGTTTTTGCAAACACTGTGGATGCTGTTGAAGCAGTGGCTAAAATATTGGAGAGAGCAGGGATTGAATGCTATCGTTACCATAAAGACACCTCTTTGGAGGAACGTGCAAAGACATTAATGGATTTCCGAGAGAAAGGTGGAATCTTTGTATGCACTGATGCTGCTGCACGTGGAGTTGATGTTCCAAATGTGTCACATGTTATCCAGGTTCTTCTATTGACTAATAATAGGATAATTGATTTATGAGTTTGTTTTATTTTGATCGCAACAGGAAACCCTAGCAATTCTCAGTTTCTGAAGAAAAATTCAGAACATAAAATTATAATTGTTGATAAAAATATGCCAAGGATTTGACAATCAAATGACAGCGCAATTTGATGAATTGGAATTTTATTCTCTATGGAAGATACAACCACCAGAAGTCTTCTCTAAGTTTTGATTGTTGAAGGATCATATCTAATTTTGAAATGAATGACAAAACTAAATTGCATTACGCCATTACCTAATGGCTTCTAATGAATTCTAATAATAACTCAATTTAAGATATGGAAGACGTAATTTTAGTTCAATCCTGACGCGCCTTAAGCCATCAATTAAGCTCTTAAAGGTTTATTGCCGCTTTCTACTTGAAGCTAAACCTTAAGTTCACTTCACTAATTTGATGTTTATCAATGAGGCTCCAAGACACTTTGGGCTGGCTTCTTTCCTCTTTCGTCGTGTGAACTCTAATATCCCCTTAAAACTATATGGGTTTTGAGGATTAGTTTCCTACATCTTTTATTGAACTTCTTTTGCCCACACATTTTATGTATTAAAATAAGCTTACTTTGGACATATTATTATTTTCCAGGCAGATTTTGCTACCTCTGCTGTAGATTTCTTGCACAGGGTTGGCCGCACGGCTCGAGCTGGTCTATATGGACTTATCACTAGCCTGTACACTGAATCCAATCGAGATCTTGTTGATGCAATTCGTCAAGCAAAGAAACTGGGTCAGCCAGTGGTAATTTCCAACCTGCACTTCTAATTCAGCAAGTTATTTACCAACCATTTCCTTTTCCTGTTTGTCAAGCCAGATTGAAAGAAACAAGATCTTTTTTTTGTTGGGGAGAGTAATTTGTGTTCTCTAAAATAAGTTAGGGTGGTTAAACAATTTTTAGAGCAATTAATCAATTATAACTTGCAATATATTATGAAATTCTTCTGTTCTTATTAAGTCCATGCACTCTTTGCTGATTTTCAACTTCTTGAACAATGCTAAAAAGCTTTGATTTGGCTACAGGAATCAGCCTTTAGCAGAAAAAGAAGCTTCAGAAAAAAACTTAAGAAGAGAGGTAGGGATTTCAATTTTTTTTTTTTTTTATTTCTTTTCAATTATATATATCAGATTGCTTGAAGTTGAATCTAAACTCTTAATTCTAAATAAAGGTGCAAGAGAATTACACTAGTGAAGTGCTCCATGTGTAGAACTACACTAGAGAACTGACCATTGTAATTTGATGAACTACTTTCAGATGCTATCTCCGAAACCGAGCACAAAGTTGCAGTGCATTAAAATTTTTGCTAATGCTCATGCCTGCCAAAATTTTTACTTGACAAGGTGTCTAAATATGAAAGATTAGCAATTTAGATGTCAATTGGATTAGTAAAGGTTATTTATGATCAAAACATAAGCTGATTTTTGTCTTGGCTTATCTTTACAGGTTCTGGCAAAGTCAGCGACGCATCAGCTAATGCAATGGCAAGCGTCTGAAGAACTTGGTATGTAAAGAAGTCATTGATCTAATGGATTATTACATTTGTTTTTCATAATGTAGTAAATTTTGCTGTACTATCTTCATGAATTGCATTGGAAGTGGTATTATCCCTCTTTACTCTCTCTCTCTCTCTCTCTCTCTCTCTCACACACACACACACTCTAATTTAAGCATGTGCAAATGCAGTCCCTCTGACCAACCATTCTATTTTTATGTTTTTCTAGCATACTGGAAATTAATTAACGCCAAAGGCCACCTTATAGAGAACTCGGGCATGTGAATTTCATCTTTCATAACACGCATGTTTATTATATTTAGTACTTAACTCACTTATTGGTTGATATGATCCTCTTGTTTAGTGTATGAACTTTTGCAATTTATTCTACTTTGGCGGATTCTGTTTATTTAGAAATATATATTTATCGGATATCAGATATTCTGATGTCCTCACAAAATGTTAGACAGTGACAAGTCTTCAATGAGAATCAAGTGTCTATGGATTTGCTTTCACCGTATTTTTCAGAAACGCCTTTTGAACCATGCTGAAATTTTCCATGGTATGCAATACTATGGCTAATAGTTTTTCTTGTTTTATCTTTATCTTGTATATTGTAATAATTTTAGCGAATTAATTATAAATTCAGTCAAAATTGACATTAAAATATAATAAATGTGAAACCTGTAGAAGTTAACTATACTCTCTCTCTCTCTCTCTCTCTCTCTCTCTCTCTCTCTAAGGATATAAACAAATAGCAAGAGTAAAGACATTCTAAAGATATTCGTGTTTCACTTCTCTTAATTTTCATGATTAGTTCAATATATGAATGGTCATCCTTGTATTCCACATGTAAAGTCTCAAGATTTTTTGCCCTTCAATTCCTTTCTCTCTCTCTATCTCTCTATAAGGGTATGAACAAATAGCAGAAGTAAAAATATTCTAAAGGAATTTGTATTTCACTTCTTAATTGTCATCATTGGTGTAATATATGATTGGTCATCATTGTATTTTAAATGTAAAATGGAAATTGAGGTAATTTGTTTTCTAAATACATGTTATAAACAAAACCTAACGTTCATTGTACTCGACTATGTCATATAATCATATATGTCTTACGCTAGTAATTAAAAAATAAAATAAAATACATACGACGTAGTAATCATGTACCCAAACCGCGTGTTGACTATCCTTTAAATACACGTTGATTTTATATGGAGCCTACATCAATCTATCCCTTGGTTAGTTCTCTAAGGTTGGCGTGAAAGAAGGTAGAGAAAAGCCTATTTAGTTGTAGAGTTTTTCTTGTTTTTAGACTAACCTCTTTTACGGGGCATTGAATTTTCGGACAGTAGTAATTCAGTTTTAACTAGGTTTTGGGCTCTCCGCGCGATGCTGCTGATAATCTTTTATGCGGTGAGCAAATTTATATTATAAATAATTTTATAAATTTAAGTTAAATTTGTAATAATTTACATAGCAGAATTTTATACTAAAATTTACACCACATCTGTAAAATATATCCACAAAATTATTTATATTATACTAAATTTACAATAAATAATTTAATAAATTTATAATATATTTATAATAGTTTATATAATACATTTGTAAGATACAATTACAATAGTATATACAATCTTAAAGTTTTATACAATGTATTAAAAAATGTACAGCTAAAAATAACTATGATAAATTCAAAAAGAAAATTTACCTTCCACTTCCTACATTTCAGGAATATATCAAACTTTGTATAGATGTACCAAAACCCTTAGCAAAATTTTCCAAGGCATGAAAGAATACTGAATTTTCGGATTGTGGTAATTCAGTTTTAATTATAGTTATGTGGCATATATTAATCCTAATCTAAATTATAAATATTACTAACGTTTTTTAGACTAGGTTTCCAAAAATGTTCAGGTTGCAAACCATGAGCTATGAACTAAAAACCCAAGATGAACTCCAATTAGATGGCCCAAATCCAAGCCTAATTTAAAAAGGGTCTAGAGAAATCAGTAAACCCCGTTAAAAACCACATCAAACCGGCCCTAAACCGAACGAAAATCATTAGAATTTAGGTACTTCTGTAAATCAAACCGGAGATTGTCTAAAGGGGGCTAATTGAACCAAATCGCAAAAACGCTCTCTCCCTCACAAACGCAGCCACCGTTCAGGCCCTCTCCGGCAAAGGAATGCCAGTAGCCACCATATCTGGACTCGTCTCTCCCTTGCGAACAAAACCCCTCAATCAATTTGTGGCTCCTGTCTCCTTTGCGAGATTCGAAGGAGAGAAGTTGCTGCCACCATGATAACGGTCGGCTATGGGGATTGAACTCGACCCAGAATGAACCCTAACCAGGAGAGAAAGATCATCTTTCCGCGTTTTTCACTTCAACAGCAACTTTCCTTCCGTTTTGTGGTGCCATCGATCAAGAGAGAGAGGTTGGTTGCAAACCGGCGCCTGTCCAACTCGCCTGAACCGTTTCCGGCGACTTCAATCGGCAATGTGAGCTTTAATCATCTTCCTAAGACACCTATGTCGATTATCTTTGATCGATTTTGCAAGGCTGTGTAGAAATTGTAAAAGTTTAAGATTAGGCTAAATTTTCGGAAAATTTGGGAATAAGCTTGAAATTGTCCTGAGTATTAGAAATTGACTTTAAATTAGGATTCTACATAGAATTCAGAGCACTTTGACTGTGATGTCGCAATTTTTGGTGAAGGTCATTTTCCGGCCACCGCCAGCTGGCTACGGTTTCCGGTGACCAACACCTCTACACTCACAATATTGTGCTTCTCGCGTAGATTATGCATATGAAATTAGTTTTCCGAGTTGAATCCATTCAGTACTCGAATTACCGAATTTACATTATTGGGGCTTTGAAGCTGAAATTTATTAGAAACTGATGTGAAACTGTTAAGCATTAGACAGGGACAGTTGGTTAGTTTATAAGATAGTTAACACTTATTGAATTTAAGTCTTGGCCGCATAACTCATGATTAAGTTATTATTATTAAGCTTAATAGATTAAAGGGATTATTGGGTATGTATAATCATGTATTGGATAACCATTGATGGAATAGTTTGATTAAATGTCAAGTTGGGTTGTGAACTAGGACGATAAGAATGATAATGTAGTTTAAGAATAGCTTAATAGCTTAATAATGGAATAGTTTAATCCATGTAAATTCCTTCGTAGTCAATAAATGATAAAAGGATAACGTAGTTGATTAATGTAACTATTTGAATTGATTATAAGAATGATAAGAATGGAAATGGGTATTCTATTACAGATCTCATATATTAGGTAATCTCATTAATGAAGTTGAATTGAACTGAAATTAAGTTATTGATAGATTATGAGAATAGTGGATGGGATTTAGTTGATGTGAATTGCCTAATGGATGAGCTTTAAAAATTGTTTATTGAGTTGTGGATTATAAACAGGTGGTTAAGTCCAGTTTTTAGGGGAGACTTTGTCGGATTTCCGACAGAATCTCTATAGCTTGATAAATAGTCTGATAGCATTTTCTTCTATTTCTATTATTATCCTTAGATCAACTTGGTCCCTCCTCAGCTCCTCAGGATCAAAATAAAGGATAAGCTGCTCTTTTTTTTTTTCATGTTTGATTTGATTCAACGTCTGGGCAAAGTACAGAGAATCTCCCTATGTTGCACACTTTGGCTGTAAACAGAATTTCTTTTTCTTCTGTATTTGTAGGACTCTCTTTGATCTTGCATCTTTTAGCATGCACAACAATGTGGAAGAACATTCATTGCAAGCGAGTGCTATCTAAAGTTAGAAGCTACTCAAGAATAGCTGCACCACCTCCTGCCTATGCGCAACCAGTCATTAGAGTCTCAAATAATGTTGCTTACTTGGGCTCTCCAAAAGACGGACCCAAGCCGCGACAGCTTTTATCATTACCTCCATTCCCCGGCCTCCCTTTGCCTGGAAAGACTTCAGTGGCATCCCGTGTCACTGCCATTAGCTGGGTCAAATACTACTTTGATGAAATCCCCGACTCTGTGATACAGTCACATTTTAACAGGGGCCTTGTGAGTAAACAAGTCCCGTGTAATATCTGTTTTGTGTTTGTTTGTGTTGATTAATCATCTTGATCTGTCTCTTTCAACCCCTTTTCTTACTAGGTTCAAATGGAGTGTATGCAACATGGAGGAGAAACCTTTATGAGAAAGGTATACTCGTGAATATAATCAATTATGCTGAAATTTTCTTCTTTCTATTTTATCTATCTCTTTGAACTTTATGTGATACAATATGGGTGGAACATACTACAACACAGATTAAGCCTAGTGATGTCATGGAGGTAGGGGCAAGAGTTCTCATACCTGTGTCAGTAGCTGAGACTAGGATTTCCAAGAGGTTTGACACCATTCCAAGTGGAACTTTATATCCAAATGCTGATGAGATTGAATATTTACAGAGGCTTGTCAAGTACAAGGTATGTCTTAATTTCACTTTTTTTCCTTTTCATCTAAGAAAAATTCTGAATGTCTTGCATATGCTAGTTTTGCCTTGGTGGATGCATATGTTGAAATTTCTGTTGTATTCTCTTATCCATATGTTGCTAATTCCTTTACTATTTTCTTATCAAATTTTTAGGACTCTGCTATAATCGTGCTAAACAAACCCCCAAAATTGCCAATAAAGGTTCCAATTTGTAGTATTTTGCATATGCTAATTGATTTGTCTTTGCAAATTTTGTTGCCTTTGTTGATTTATTCTTGTATTTTACTTTTATAGGGGAATCTTCCAGTTCACAATAGCATGGATGCATTGGCAGCTGCAGCTTTGACATATGATTATGATGAGGGACCTAAGCTGGTAAGCTTCTAGGAAGTGACTTGTACAGCGGCTGGCTTCATGTTCATTTTTGAAATATTTGTCCAAATATGAATGTTAAAATTTTCAATCGTCTCTCTATTTTATCTTTTCAAATTTAGATTAGTTTTTCTATAATTCTTACAAATCTTCCAACTACTGATGTAGTTATTCTCATCATGCAAATTACCAGGTGCAGCGCCTTGATAGAGAAAGCAGTGGTCTCATCTTAATGGGCCGAACAAAAGAAAGTGTTGATCATCTTCAGTGGATGTTTAGTGACCAAAAGAAATCAAATTCCTATTGTAAGGTATTTATGTTATTGATGTTGTAATGTAACATGAGGACTGTCAGCGTTTTATATGACATATAGTAGGATAGATGGTTATTGCTTCCTCCTTTTGGTTTAGAACTGTGACATGTGTCTGGCAATTTAGGATTGGAATGATGCATGTCAAGCAACATGTCAACGGTACTGGGCATTGATTATAGGCTCTCCAAAGGAAAAGGAAGGCTTGATTCGAGCTCCACTTTCGAAGGTTCTCTGTTTCTCTGTCTCTGTATGTGTGTGTGTGTGTTTATGCTGGAAGGTGAAGCAGTAAATGGTATCTTTCAGGACATCTCGAAGGATAGTGAGGTTTTTCTTTAAATCATTGTTGCATATTGTAGGTGCTTCTGAATGATGGGAAGACTGAGAGAATTGTCTTGGCCCAGAATTCAGGTTTTGAAGCTTCCCAAGAAGCTTTAACTGAATATCGAGTGTTAGGTCCTACAATAAATGGATGCTCATGGGTTGAGCTATGCCCACTCACCAGCCGAAAACATCAGGTATTACTAAAATGGTTATCCTTATTTGATGTGATTGGCACTACTAAAATGAAAGTAACTGCCAATAATTTGAGCAATGGCTAAGTGCTGCTGGTTGATTCTTTTTCCTTCTATAGGTGGGATTTGTTTGATTATTTATGTATTGTGTACCTTCTTAAGATGATTGGAACTGTATCTGATTTTGTTTGTTCAATATCTACAAAGCTCCGTGTGCATTGTGCCGAAGCTCTCGGGACACCAATTGTTGGTGATTACAAGTATGGTTGGTTTATGCATCGGAGATGGAAGCAAATGCCTCGTGTTGATATTGAGCCATTTTCTGGGAAACCATACAAATTGCGGAGACCAGAAGGCATAGACGTTCAAAAGGGAAGCGTCTTGTCAAAAGTCCCATTGTTACATCTCCATTGCAGGGAACTCGTACTCCCAAACATTGCGAAATTCCTTGATGTTTTGAATCAGAAGTCGAAAAATATTCACCCTGCTCTTAGTGCAAAGCCAGATCTTCTTCGGTTTGTGGCATCGATGCCGACCCACATGAAAATTAGTTGGAATCTCATGTCTTCCTATTTGGTGTAAGGATATCATAGTCGGTTTCGCTAGTTTTCTAGAGCTTAACCTTTATGTTGCAGCAGTCTTATTTAAGTTGTATCTATGTATATTCTTTTTAATTCTTTTATTATTTTTGTTGTGAATTTATAATATGATTTGCATGGAATTATACCAGATACAATTGACAGAACTAGCTTTAAGTACCAAATGTAAAAAGATCAACTATTTGATAACTAGTGCAAATCTAGACCTCTCCTATTAGCAAATGCCAAACATTGAACAAAATCATTAATATGCTTATCAGAGCTTCCGCCTTCACCGACTGCTTCTCTAGCTGCCTTTCTCCATTTTCTTGCATTTTTCTTGATTTTTTGGCTTTTCTTTCCTTCCAATACTTCCTTCAAACATCTAATCACTTCTTGTTTTCTAACAACTCCTTTATCATCTTCTTTCCCTTTAACCCCTATTTTCCAAACATCTTCCACAAACTTTGAGTTAGGCACCTGATCGGTCCATTGCGGCATGGCCACCATTGGAACGCCTAAGCTCAAGGCTTCAAGAGTGGAATTCCACCCACAGTGAGTCACAAAGCAACCAATGGCTTGGTTTGCTAGCATTTCAAGTTGGTTGCACCATGTTACTATTAGACCCTTCTCATGGGCTGACTCTATGAACCCATTTGGAAGTTTACCCATTTCCGATTCCCTCACAACCCACAAGAAATCTAAGTTGCTTTCCTGCAAGGCCAATGCAATTTCTTCCATTTGCGTCTCTGTTAATGAAACCATGCTACCAAAAGAAATATACACTACTGATTGAGGTTGCTTTGTTTCTAGCCATCTAAGGCACTCTTCCCCAAGTGGTTTCCAGAGGCTTGCTCCATACCCTTTGTCCCCTTCAATCCGGCCATCCAAATAGAAAGATGGAACCATCGGACCTATCAATTTCGCGGGCCAAAGCTTGGATATGCCTCCTGCCTCCTATTTGGACATACAATCCAATATTAATTAATATGGATCAGCACAAATATAGTTTTTTTTTAAAAAATATCAATTAATCAAATAATATTTTTTTTTTAAAAAAAAAGAGATCTTTACTCTTTCGCGCCATTTTTTTTTCTCTGATTTGTGCAGTTATGTTGTTGATTTCTATTTTGTATTTTTTTTTTCTGGGAAATATATGTTTGCATACCTTGCTTTCCAAGTCTTCAAATGTATTTGCAAAAATCCAGTCAGCCGTGTCCAAGTCAGAAAACTGATTCAATTTCATAGCCAAATAAGCAGGGTAGCTGTCAGGATACCTGAGAAAAGTTGGCAAGTCACAGTAGTTCAATGGAGGAATTCCAGGTAACACCAAAGGCATATTCTCTGGCTCCAGAGGCAGAGTAAGTAAGCCATGGTGTAAACGACAGAAAATGTGGGAAACAGAAGCTGAATTAGTGAAAAATGAGGCTCCATAGATTCCATGTTGCCTGGCCACGTCAAGAGCCCACGGCAGAAAAGAATCATACACAATACAATTAACTGGAAAATTTGAGCATTTGAATTTTTCTATTAGCTGAGACAGAGTTCTTGAGCCATTGACTTTAAAGGAGTTAAGGAATAAGTCACCGTCTTTCGCCTGAGAAAAGCCACCGTCGTCAAAGCCATCGGAGATGGGTTCAACGGTGACGGTTGGAGCCCATATGGACTTAACGGTATAATGGGTTGTGGCTAATGTGGCTTTAAGACCTTTGGAAGCTAAAAGCTTAGCAAATTGGAGAAGAGGGTTAATGTGGCCTTGGCTTGGATATGGAAGCAAAACGACATGGCCTTTGTACTCTGTTTCTCTCATTTTCTTTTGCTGGGTTGTGAGTTGTTTGTCAGAAAGAGTGTCTATAGTACACTCTATATATAAGCAAAGGATGTATTAATTTTCTTGCCGGGCATCTTTTCTCATATTTAAATTTTGGAACTAGAGAGACGTAAAAATCTAGAAATCTTTTATATCTGACAAATTATAAATACAACTGTGTTTATCAAACACCATCCTACCACCAGTGAATAAATATCATATTAAGACTACTCGTTTGGATCGGTTTGGTTCGGCATGTTCACGAATAGAATAGGAACCATAGAAGCATAGTTCAGAGCACCTGCACACACGTGAGACAAGTAATGCTACCAATTTTGAACTAATTATAATTATGATAAACGTGTAAATTTTAAAAATACTCATGAATAGCTCACTATCATGTATCAATATAGTAGAATTATGATAAATTTCTCTACTTCAAATTGATGAAATTTAATCTAATCAATAACTTCATAAATTGGTAGTCAAATTGATTTCTCTAATTCATTAAGACAACATGTGCCTTTTCCGGCGGTAATCTATTGGTTGCCGACTTCTCTGCTGATCCCACTCTCACCGTTGATTTCATCATCTAAATGACGCACGCAAGCGGTATACTCATTTACACTTTGCACCTGAAGATCATGGATTGGATTGGATTGGCTTGTACGTATCCTCCTAATCACTAATATATATTTCATTTTGAACCACAAATTTAATTCTCTTTTTGTCAAACTTGTCGTTTTCTTTTGCATATTTTTGGTAGAGATTTGGATTGTAACTCGAAGAATAGATAGTTTGTGATTGAGGATTTGTTTGAAATAGAGGATTTTTTTAAGAATATATATATGCAAAAAAAATATAAGGAAAAAGATTTTCTTTTATTTATAAGGGCGAGAAAATATTAAACAAAAAAAAAAAAAACACTATTTTTCTCTAGTGCTCATCAAAATAATGAATAAATTGAGAAAATTATATTATTTAATGTAAAATATATTCCATTACATTTCTTCTTCCATTATTTTCTTTTTTTCTGCTTTTCAAATAAAGTCTAAATGCTTAATGAAAGGCAGAACTTATAAAACTTAAAGTATATACAAAAAAAATAAAATTACAGGCTGATAGTTTGAAAAGGATAAATAAAAGATGGATTGCGTAGGAATATCATATTCCTTCCATTCACTCTTCCATCAATTTAGATGACAAAACTGTAAGAAAAAATGAGAATTAGAATCATAGAATGATGGTTGAAATTTCATCATTCAATAATAACCCACTTTATGGAAATAAAATTCTTATTCGAATTTATTTAATAAGTGTTGAGGTGCGTAAATAATCAATGGTGAAATAAAAAGTGTCCGATGACCGACTTAACTAAATATTAATACTATGGGTTAAATTGGTGAAACGTTCTATTTCTCATATTATTAGTAAGACCAACATGACCATCACTTCACAAATATTTACTTCTTCTCCTTAATATAGTAGATTGATTTAAATATATCTAAAAGATCATTTGAAAAAGAGTTATAGTCTTAACTATATCTTTTCCTCGATTTTTTTTTTTTTTTATAAAGTTTGGAGCAGCTCATATATAACACTAAACAGAACCATGTGGACTTCTACTTTTTTGGGACCAACACTTAAGTCGTATACTCGTAGAGGGCCCAACCCATTAGCGCAATTGCTTTAGGAGCTTCTACAAATTAAGATCCCTCACCAACCACCCAAGGCCCAAACCATACCATCCTTTGCTAATATTCAGTTCAATCTTATTATCTATGGACATTAGAGTGAGATTCTGAGAGAGATATAAAACCAGAATAGTACCAAACTTTGCACAAAAGCTTCATTGAAGTAACATACAGAGCAGGATACATTTTGACATGATAAACCCAACTGAACTAGACATTAGCAATTTCAAGTTTTAGCACTAACAGAGAGGTTCCTATAATACATATTATTATAATTCTAAGGGCACTTAGTCTTGTTGGCGTGAGTCGTCATGTCAGTGTAACATTTGCCGCACAATTCTCTGTTCCCAGAAGTGCCTGGAGGCACACATTTGCACCTAAAGCAGCAGGTACCGCATGCCCTTGTGCACACATTAGGCCTTGAATGCAAACTGCATCTCACCTTGCACAACCCTCCGCAATCTGCACACAAAACAAACCACCCATTATCTTTAAGTTTATTTATTGTAAAATAGTAATGTATAGGAGATAGAAGTTCCGGTCTACCCAAGAATGGCAGGAGCCTTCTGTTAGCTCCTTTGACCAACTGAGTTCCGCTATGGTCTTCATTAATCTCCAAATCAGATGAAACCTGCAATCACTTTCTTTAATAAAGATCACAGTTGGAGTATTAAGAGGAAAATGGTAGTTCTAGGTGTGTAGTGTACCTGCAGAGCTATGCAGAAAAGAAAAACTGCCATTAAAACAAGGGTGCGTGAAGCCATTGGAGATGAAAACGAAACAAGCTGACGTAGCAGTTTTGAGGTGTTTGAAAATGGAGCTCTGACTTGTGAGTAGTGATTGGTGGCTCTTTATAGGCGTTTCTTTGGTGGCTCAATTACCAATTCGCCCACGGGCTTGTTTTGTTCTGTGTGCGCCTTGTGCACTGCCCACTCGTGTGCTATCAAATCTCTATCAGGAACTGTTTCTTTTTATTACTTTCTAACTGCCGATGATAATAATATTATTTTAACAAGTATATCAAAGATTAAAAACAATAATTGAAATTAAACCATCCATTTTTTTTTTAAATTGCAGAAAAGTCTTAATTGTATAAAAATGAATAAAAAAGTCACTGTGGTTAGGCACATGCACTTCGTACATTATAGTACAGGAGTCTAGAGAATTCTGCATGTTTGGTTAAAATAGATAACCATTATGCAAGTAGTGTTAAATTAGAAGACAAAGATGGTGGGCTGATCTCAGCAACCATGATAAAGCTAAGATTAGCATCAAATTAATATATATATACTGCTTAATGGCAGACAAGACCCATACAATCTCCTTACCTTACAATAATAAAAATATTAATATGTAATAAAAATAGGACAAAGTCACAGAGAAATACAAAAAGCCAAAAAATTGCCATCCCTAGGTACATACAGTTCGATTAGCTTTATTTGTTTTCGATCAAAAAGCTGATTCGACAAATGCAAAGAAAGGGCACAGCTGTATCCCATTCCGTTCCCACCTAAACTAAACAATACTAGTAGAAAAATTCGTCGCCATTTTCGGAAGTACTGGCTCCTGCCTGCGCATCACTGCAAGCATGAAATGACGTCGTTTTTTAATCATTCAAAACAAGAATTTTTGATATTGCCTTGTAGATGCTATTTAAGAAAAAAAAAATCAATATTTATTATTTAATTATGTTGATTTTTTTTTCCAGAGAAAAAAAAAATCATAAACAGAATTTGAACGAGCATATTAGAAGCAGATAACTGGCTGTAGGGGTGTCCATTTTCCGGTTTTTGGAACGGGAACCGCTAGTTCGAAATCGGTGGGAATTGAAACTGAAACTGTGAGAAACTGAAATTGGAGGTCTGTGGTTCAATTCCGATTCTAACTTTTGAAGAACTGTAAACAGGCGATTTTGAGAACTGATCGGAACCGCTAGTTTTTTCAACCGGTTAGAATCGGCGGTTCCACTAGTTTCAATAAATTTTTTTATTTTTTCAAATATTTTTGTGAAATCTCAAAATTAACCCTCCTAACAACTATATAACGGCTAGTTTTAAGGGTATTTATGAAAATTTCAAATATTTTTGTGAAATCTCAAATTAAACCCTCCTAACACTATATAACGGCTAGGTTTTAAAGGGAGTATTTATGAATTTTTTTATTTTTTCAAATATTTTTGTGAAATCTCAAAATTAACCCTCCTAACAACTATATAACGGCTAGTTTTAAGGGTATTTATGAAAACTTAATTTTTTAGATTTACTATAAATACATCATTTCATTTATAAAAAATAAATCAAGTTTAAGTCATTTTTCCAAAAAAAAAAGTTCAAGCATTTTCTTTAATAAATAAATTAAGTTAAGCCTTTTTTTATTTTTTTTTATTTAAGTTTTTTTTAAAAATTATTTCATAAATATTTAAATTTTAAATTTTCAACAAAAAAAAATGTTCCATAGCTTTTGATTTTATAATATCGGAAAATCAATTGGAGAATCGGCCGTTGATTTGACACCGTTAAAGAACCGGAATTGGAACAGTAACCGTTTGATTTCGATTCTAAATTTTTTTAAAATCAAAACCAAAATCAAAACCGATAATTCCGGAACCGTGGCCACCTCTAACCGGGTGGTTGCTTGTTGCGTAAATTTGCCTTGAATGTGGAGAGGCAGTAGGCAAAAGACAGCTAAAACACAGTTGGCTAAATGAATGTAAGGAAGACGAAATACGTCAGACTCATGATTTGCTTTTGTCAAGCCATCAAGAGATTGGGATTGCAATGCAGCTCTTATACCCCATGTAGACATACATTGCAATGACACAAGCCGCGAGGTGCTTCGCTGATGATTAGCTGTATCCTTCTGTGCAACGGACCACATGACCTAAACATTTGTCCCTGTAGCTTTCCTACCTCTCTCTCTCTTTTTTTATCCTCACCAACTCCGACCCTCCATGGCTCCACCTACAGTTCATCTCGTAATTACTATAAGTTAAAAACATTAGCAATTGTCATTATACTATAGCTCAATGATGGGGTGCTTACCTTTGAATCCTGAAATAGTCCTTATTCCCCTATAAAAATTTCCAACGTACAAAAAAAAAAAAAAAAAAAAAAAAAAAAAAAAAAAAAAAAAAAAAAAAAAAAAAAAAAAAACAATAACAAGTAGGCATTTAGCTTAAAACATAGAAAATTACAATGTGTCACGTGTAAAAACATGAAAAATAACAATTGTGCATCTGTTTCAAAGAGGCAACAGTAACTCCCACAAATCCTAAGGTTAAGGTATGCCAAGTATTTACATGGCTTCGCCTAAATATAACTTCATATGATATGACTCATTCTCTTTTCATATAAATCTTTTCTAAAATCTTCTTAATCTTAAAATAACAGCCATTTACAAAGCATCGGCAGCCAAATATTCACTTCGGTCGGATCACTACATTCAGTCAGATTAACTACACACGTTTCAAACTAAAATCTGTTTTATTAGTCTTGCACCAACCCATAGTGAAAATGGATGGTGATTGCGACCAACATGTTTAATTAATCTTCAGTATTCCCACAAAAATATCATACTTCTAAAAAATCACTCTTATGTGACAGAGACCGAACAACCTAGAAATCAGCTGTTGTAAGAATATTATGAAGATATTAGGCTAACAGCATAAAAAGAGAAGATTGGACCAAACACAACAAACATTCATCAACCATTTACTATGAATAGATCAACAGAAACAAGGAAGCTTGTAGTCTGACTTTGAACTTCATTAAAGGAAGGAAGGAGTGTACAGTGACACAACTTTAAATGGCAAGCTAAGTATGATTTCTCAATATCAAAAAGTTCCAAAATGCTACACTTGATGATTTGGCTGTAGCTCAAAAATCTTTATTGTATTAGTTCTTACCTCTACTTGCCGGAAAAGACAAAAAAAAAAAAAAAAAAAAAAAAAAAAAAAAAAAAAAAAAAAAAAAGAATATCTCCTCCTGTTCTAACATTGGGACAGGAACTATTTCACTGTATATTCAAACTCTGGCTAGAAAACAATATTAAACTTCGCTTCTCATTCATGCTTCGAATACGTGATCTCTTGCAATGCACTGAGAGCACATCTGCTATAAAATGAGTTTTATCATGCAAATGCAGCAAGAAAATGAAAAAAAAAAAAAAAAAAAAAAAAAAAAAAAGAATATCTCCTCCTGTTCTAACATTGACGGAAACTATTTCACTGTATAAATTCAACTCTGCTAGAAAACAATATTAACTTCCTTCTCATTCATCTCGAATACGTGATCTCTTGCATCACTGAGAGCACTCTGCATAAAATGAGTTTATTCATGCAAATGCACAGAAAATGAAAAAAAATAAAATGATTAACTTTCCAGGAGTGAGAAAAAGACAAAGAAGGCAAACATCACCTGCCCAAATTTTGTGAGGAAGTTATTTGCAAGGTTTAAAGAGGTAATTTTCACATCTTCATTAGCCTTAAGTGCTTGAGCAATAGCAAAAGCCCCATCATCCTGTACCACAAGTTCAAATATGAAACAGTCGTATTGTTTTCAGTTTGCAAACAAATTTCAAGAAAGAACAATTCTTTACTCTTATTTCATTGAATCCTAAGTCAAGTTCAGTTAGAACTTCATTGACCACTTTCAAGCTGCGAGCCAGGCAGATTGCACCCTGCAAATATTGTGTAAATGGAGAAGAAACATTAATTTGCTTATCAGAATGACCCAAAATCCATAAAAAGACATCTGAATTGTGAAGAACAAACTTCATCTCTAAGTCCATTTCCTCTCAAGTCTAGAATCGCAATGGTGTTATTGTATTTTAAAGTATCTGCAATGTACTCTGCACCTTTTGGTCCTATCTGCAGGATAATCCATGTCACATGGTTATGAATAATTAAGCAAATGATTCACAATTGTGCACACACACAGATATATGGATATTTACCTGGCACCAACCCAGCTTTAATGCTTTTATCTTTCCATGAAACTTGAGAACTTCAGACAAGGCCTTGGCTCCATCAGGTCCAATAGGATTATAACCAACTTCCAACTGAAAGAGAGAGAAAGAGAGAGAGGGAAACTAGACTTATTATTATCCAATTTAAAATTGACAAGAAAAAGGAAATGGATTAATCATGGTAAAGGAGTTAAGGTCCCACAGTTGTGATGACAGAGTTATCTTTGAAAACTTGAGCTATTTCACCGATTCCCTTGGCATGTATGTTATTTCCACCCTATAGAGTTGATAGAAATGGTTTATCAAACAGCTCTCAGGATGTAATTAAAGCATAAATGAAAGCAATTTTTCAAGTGAAGCACTCTATTCTCACCAGGTCTATAATTGTCACGCTTTGGTTCAGCTTAAGAGCATCTGCAATCTTTTCAGCACCCTGACAAATATTAGGAAAACAAAATATCAACCGAATGAAAATCCAAGCTATAATCATCTTTCAGCATTAATTTGATTTAAATGTATCCAAGAAGCTAAATAGTGGATGCAGAAAATATTTCAGAAATTTCATCACCTCATCACCAATGTCATTCATGTACATATTCATCCAGAACAAGCTCTTGCTCTTCTTGATATATTCAGCAACGTGAAAAGCTCCCTTTGCACTAATTGAGTTGTTTCCAAGGTCTAGATGGGTAAGTTTAACTGAAGAGCAAGAATTCAAGCCAGATTTACTACAATGAACTTCAGTGTTTTCTGAAATTGATTAAGAAAGCAATAGGAAACACCTTTACTGGAAGATAAACCAGACATCAAGGCACGAACACCTTCATCACCAATAGAATTTCCTTGCAAGTGAAGTTCCTGAATGAAAATAACTCCACTGTTAATTCTTCATCCCTTCAAAAGCAACATACTTATATATTCAAAGTCGTAGCAGCATAATTCCATCTTAGCACATAACATAAGAAAACTAATAGATCAACTCCAAAACTTAGTAAGATTGAGATAACATTGCCTCACACCATAATTTATCCACTGAATTTGTTGCAGTCACAAGGCACTATGCCAAGCAAAGTAAGATGCTAGTTTAAAAAAAAAATAAAAAAATAAAAAAATAAAAAAATAAAATAAAATTTGCTCCAAAACAAGTAATCAACACTTAATTCTAGAAGCAAAATTGCATAAGCTACTTGAGTTCTAGCATGAAGAATCTTATGATTCACTCTCCTTTTTCCTCTTAATCTACTTGAGCTCTCAGAAAAATAAAATTCCTTTCTTTATGAGCATTTGTAAAAGATTGATGGTTTTTGCCTAATAGAAGATAAGAAGGTGGTAGATACTGTCTTTACATGGTATAATTTATATTGCATTTACACCTCAGTGCCATGCTTTTAGAAACAAATTTTTTGAAGAGACAGGAAAGGAAGTCAGTACTCATGTCAATTCCTTCATTCACAATTAGATCAAATCTAGAAATCTGTAAATCCACTTCATTTGGAACATCAAAGGATTAGAAAAAGTAGAAGAAAAGGCCAACATGATATGTACCCTTAATGCCTTGTTTCCCTCAAGTCCTTTAGCAAAAGCATTAGCCCCCAAAGCACCACCATAATTGCCACTTAACAGTGATAAAATGTCAGCAAGATTTCCAGAAGTAACATAAATAAGGTGCACCATTAGAAATATTTATCTAAAGCTGTTCAAGAACCCAGCCATTTAATATTCAAAGGTTTGCATAGATATATAGGACATACTACAATAGTAGCCCAAAAAGAAAGTTTAAAAAAAAAAAAAAAATTGAGAACTACTCACTTGAGATATATACTTCGTACAGTGCTATTCTCCAGAAACGCTCCAGCAAGACTTGTAAATCCCTACTTCCGGTTCCAAAAAGAAATCATATTTAGCAACTTTGACAAATTTAGCTAAAATCTAAGGAAGGTTTGAGGTAACTACATACAGAATAATCAATCATGTTGTTGTTGAGTTCAATCACACGCAGGTTTGAATTGTTCTTTAACAATTCTGCAATAGCCTTTGCACCCTGTGCAGAAAATGAACACTACTTCAGGCATATGATCACTGGAGATCCCTTCAGTTATGCATATGAATTTTATAGGTTCAAGAATGTGGGTCTCATGAACCAGTTTGAAACAAAATAAAAGCTAACCTCATCACCCAAGTCAGCACTGTTTAGCTGGAGCTTTTCAATACCCCTATTATCCACTAATATATCACATAAACTCTGTTTGCAAGAAAAGAAAATTAGTAACATCCAAAATATTAACCATCTATAATGAATTTTCAAGTAATAAATGCAGGATGATCTTAAGGTTGTAGGTTTACAATGGTTGAAATAATAACAGCAAGACCCTGAAATAGAAGAACAATAGTGTTCACTAGAAAGGTAATTCATAATCCCAGGATCAATCGTATCCATCCTTTACAGGAAAATGGAACAAGCCATTTGATATGGTTTTCCAATTAGAGGGATAAAAGAAGAGGAAGTTATATCTTTAGAAGCACAAAATTCAAAAAGTCACTTATAACAAAAGAAGCGTCATCCTAACTTCAAACATGTGATTCAAAAAGATTTCAGCAATAAACATAAAAAGCAACTATAATTCTTGATTATATTCACTGATAACCAATTTAAGACTACCAAAACTCATAATGAGTTTTTCTATAATCTTTTTCGTATCCAATATTTGTTGTCCTAATATATTCAGATGATTACAATAACCTACTTCAAACCTTTTTTCTTCTTTCCTTTTGAGATGCATTTTTCAAATGTTCAACAGCTAGTCATAGAAAAGTGGACAGGGCCTGACCTTAGCTCCCTCATCTCCAATAGGGTTCCCAGACAAGTTTAGTGTCTTTAATACAATGTTTGACTGAAGAACACGGTCGAAGGCTTTTATTCCTTCCGCGGTAATTCCATTTGCTGCAAAATTAACTTCCTCTAGAGTCTGAAAAACAGCTAATATACTATCAGTTAATTCATAAAGAACAATTTCATTGATGTGTTTTCAAAGTCGGTCAAATAAGAGTTAACTGCATTCAAAATTACCAAATAAAAACAACTAACACTAGAAGAATCAAGAAGAGATCTGCAGTGAATGTTCGAAGAAGCATAACCTGATTGTATGCTAAGCTCTCAGCAAGGAAAAATAGTCCTTCATCTCCAAAATTACATCCTGATAAATATTTGAAGTTCAAGATCAGATTTAAAGTGGAAGGCATGTAATTATATAACAATTATAAGTTTGAAACGTTGAAGAAGATAGTCATAACAAAAGAAAGAAAAAGCTGAATGAAAAGAAACAAATTCTTCTGATTGCATTTGAAATGTCAAAGAAAACATAGACCTAAATTATGCTCCAGCGTTTAATCAGCATTACCTTAACTAATATTTTTTAGTTTTACAAGTCCAGTTTGTTTTGATAGTTTCTGCTCCATAATTGAAGGTTGAATATATTTATCAAGTCTGATTATGACTATGGTTCTCAATATATTGTCTAGCATAGGTTACATTATCAAATCTGATTAGAGTCAAAGTTCACATATTTTCATTTAAGGGGCCAATAATTTTATGTGCTTTGCAGAAATTTCTGAAACTTTATAACAATCTTTATCTTTGGGATTGTTATATATTGATATAGCAAATTTAACTCTAATTTGACATAGTAATATACTGGAGGTGATACCTAACAAATTCTAGGCATGGCACGTAAGGATTTCACAGTTCACATTACTGGCAAAGTGATAAATCAGATACCCGAAACTTTACATTCCTTGCATAATTTCCCTTGAATTCTGTTATTTTGATACCCACACCTTTTCACACTATAACATACTAGTTTCACATCAATTGGTAGCCATCAAATTCTGAAAAATCGTACGAATTTCCATTCTCTGTTCATTAACTTAGGAGTAAGGACACTATCGAAAGATTATAAAGGACACAAAATGGTATCAATTGATTAAGGAACCAACAAACACAAAGTTTTTAACGACACTAAATGTTCACATTTTGCAATCTAATAGAGAATATCGAAGTATACTACAACTAAAAACCCTATAAACATGTAGAAAATGAAATTCTATCCGGAAAGCCTTAAAAGTAAACCGACAGCATGCAAATATTGAATCATTTCTCTCTCGCTCTACATAAACCCTAATGGACTCAAATTGATCTAGCCAGCATACCTGACATGTCAACAATGCTGAATGACCTAAGTTCTTTGGAAAATTGATTGAGCTTTTGCTTGGCCTCTCTGTCAATCTTTGCAGTAAGACCAGGAAATAGATTTGTTCCAGAACCAAAAGACCAATTTAATCCTTTGGATGGAGATTTATTTTCCATCACCACTGGCCTTTTTGGCTTTGGCATCATTACTTTCTCCACTAATTTCCACATAACTGTCAGCTGAAAGCAGAAATTAGTACATCTAAAAACAAGAGGACTAAATTGGCCAGTGCCCACATCGAATTAGAAACAAAAAGTATCAAATCCTGTGTTCCTATAATCATAGACAACAACTATTTTAATTCCAATTGATCAGATAATTGTATCGTTGTAGTTATGTTCAATCACGGAGGCAATGCTTCAAAATGGAGCTAAACTAACAATACTCTACACATTAAAAACCATCTAAAGCAGTAACCTGCAAAATTTCCATTTTCCATACCAAAAGTAATGGCAACAAAAGCCCCAGCAGGAACAACAAAGGAGGCAATCTGCTGGACCGGAGCGTTAGGGAACGCACTCTCTCCCTGAGACTGCCGATACACTTTCCGGCCACTAGCCGGCCGCCGCGCACCACCGTTCGCCCTCACAACCAGACTTCTGAACCTGAAACATCTTCGTCTACTAGCAAACGACGATGAAGCATAGGGCAACGATAGTAGCAACCCGTGGACACGATAGCACGAAGTGGAGCTGACAGAATCATCGGCTCGTAGCCTGAGTGAAATCTTTATCGAACAATAGAATTGTCATATTATAGCTCTAATAGTAGAGAAGAGAAAGAAGAGAGTAACGAATTGACAATGGAGTAGTACATTTACCTTAGGATGAAGGGAGGTAGAGAGAGTAGAAGAGTAGTCCATAAGTGTGACTGAGTTTTAGATGTGCATAGGGAGTACAGTTTCTTATCCTGCGGTCAGTAGTCAGTAGAGCTGCACAGAGGGATTGAGAAAGAGCAAGAAAGGAAGGAGATGATAAAGCGGCCGGTCTCCGGAATGTCGTAAAACCACGAGAAGAGAAGCTTTTTTCTGTGCTCTTCCCTATCAGCTATCCGAATGACTTCGAAACAAGAACCGGCGGGTTTGGTTTGGGCCTAATCAGGGTCTGTTGATGGAAACAAAACCTCACCAAAAAGGCCCAAAATGTATTTTCGGAAAGAGTGGCTAATATCCAGCCATTTTTTCTTAAAACTGGGTTTTGGTTGGGCCCCATTTTACAATTTACGTGCTCCAAGTTTGTGTCCTTTGTGGCCAAATTGGGCATTTTTGGGCCTTTGGGGCCAAATTAAGAATTTTTGGGCCTCTGTGGCCAAATTGAAAATTTTTGGGCCTCTGTGGCAAAATTGGAAATTTTTGGGCCTCTGGGCCCAAAATGTAATTTTCCAGGTCTCAGGGACCAAAATGTAATTTTTCAAGTCTCAGGGACCAAAATGTGATTTTCCAGCTTTGAAATGTAATTTTTTTTTTATGAAGTATGGGATGAATGCGTGAATGCGCACAACATCACAACATAATTAATTTTTAATGGAATGATTCAGCATTATTGGGTGCATACAATATATATATAATATATATATATTATATAATAGTATATATATAATCCTGAAAACGAAAAAATAATATTGATAATCCTGAAACAAAAAATATTGATGTGTCACTCTCTTCTTTCAGCTTTCTATTTTCGGTTTTTTTATAAATTTTTGGATTTTTTTCTTTTTTCACTATGATTTTTCTTTGTTTGTAAAAATTTGATCAGTCATTAAAATATTTTTAAATTTAGAAATTAATTTTTTACGATAATAATCAATATTTTTAAAATTTAAAAATTAATATTTTGTGATAATAACTAACATTTTTGAAATTTAATCTTATCTAGCTATATATTTTCCTACCATTGAATCTTAATTTTTATTTGTATCTCTACGCCTCTTTAATTTTTATTTTCCTTCCATTGAACATAAATAGCCTCCACCAATCATTCTCAGATTAAATTTTCTTTCACTTGCTTTCTTTCCTTTCTTTGAATTCTAAATAAGAAAAATAAATTTTGTTTATAGGTTTCCTTTTAGTCTTTGATCTTCTTTTCTCATTATCTTTTTGGATGCTTCTTTTCTCATGATTTAATTTTCTCATTTTTTTCTCTTCTGTTTCGCTTGCGTTTTTTTTTTTTCAATTTATGCTTTGACTTTGAAGGGAGTTTTTTTTTTTTTTTTTTGAGTTAGTAATATTATTATCATTTATTGGATATTAAAATTGATCAATATTTTATAGTTTATACAAAGGTAATGTTATTATCATTTCTCACTTCTAAGGAATTCCTAAAACTACTTAATTATAATTTTGACATAATTAATAATGTCTAAAACAATAAATTGCTTCATCTTATAAGAAAACAAATAATTTGATCCAAAAACTCTTAATTGGGCATTTTATGAAAAGTAATTATTAGCGATTTTAAAATTAATTTTGTTGTTATTAAAAAATCATATATTTAAATTGTTGATTATTTAGAATTTATAAAATACTTGATTAAAATTTTTATTTAGATATTATGAATTTAAATTTGAGTTTTATATAATATATTTATAAATTCATAAATTATAGTTTGAAATAGTTTGAAAAAAAAAAAGTAATAAGAATAGACCCATTGTGCGTTCTGGAGGGAAGTTTTATATTTATAAATTCATAAATTATAGTTTGAAAAAAAAAAGTAATAAGAATAAGACCCAATTGTTTTGAAAAAAAATATTAATAAGCACAAGAGTTTCTAGAAATTCTTTTTTAAAATTTTATTTACCGTCTAAAATTATGTCTTCAAAATTCTTAAATTTCTTTTTTAATTTTTTAAATAATATATAATTATAACTTCCTTTGGTATAAAACTTCCTATTTTTTAATGTATTTAAATTATATATATTAAAATATTTCTTATTTGGAATTGATAGATATGAATATAAAGAATTTTTATTTTGTATTTGTTTTTATATTTTATAGAAAAAATATTTAAAAATAATATATTATATTTGTATTGTTAAGTAATTAAATTAAAATAATATAATATTATATGATATATATCAACTATTAATTTATTTGAATCCATAAGAAACATTATTCTAACAATAGCTATTTTTGATAGAAGTCAAGTTTAAATTGTTTGAGATTAATTATAAAACTATTAAAACTCTGATAATTTAAATTTCATTATCTGAATCAATTAAACATAATATTTATTATATGATAAGGTAAATGCTTGTTCTTACAATTGTACTTGAATCTATAAAAACTTTATCTGAAAACCCGTTAGATAATTCACATTATATTCTACAATAAAATTAAAAATAATATTTTTTATAGATTATCATAAATTGAATAATTATGAATTGTAAAATTTTATCTATCTAATAGAATATATTTCTGATCAAGATAAAATTGTTTTAATTGTTCAAAGTAATAGAATCTTCCTAACTGAAATCTAAATATGACATAATTTAATCTGTTATTATTTAAAATAACAGTTAATGCATTCACAAATTCTATAAACACATCAACATCTATAAAACAAGGCCGCAGAACAAAAACATATATTTTCAATAAACTTACTAAGACGATTTATAAAATAAAAATAACAAATAGTATTTTCAAAAAAAAAATACGTAATACCACAATAAATAACTTAAAGAAAAAAACATAAGATTACTTTACATTTGTCATTTATAAATTATTAAACATATACCGATTAACGGGCAGCAAATGCAATGGTTTCAATCAAAATTCAACCAACAAAAATCGATAAAATGAGACATTTCTCTAAAAACCAAAAATGTACAGAGATGCCAATACCGTGGTAAATGCACACATAATATTTTATTTGAAATAATTAATTAAATTACATCATTCTCAGCTTCGTTCTACACTCCAGGCGGCAAATATACACACACCAAAACACTTAAATGTTCTCGTGTACAAAGTCTGCGTTATAGCTATTAACATAATATAGTCACAGATCAAGATATGGGTATCCCTTCCTTGACTTTCAATGATTTAAGAAATGTGGAAGCCATCAACCTCTGAGAATCCCTAGATTATCAGCGGAAAATTAAATCACGATTTGAACTGAACAAATCTGTACAATCAGCAAACAGATTAGCTGAACTTGGCACACTTGAACCAATAACGAGCCCTTGGATGAAACCAAGTAAGCCACTGAGCCGACCAAACTACAACAACAGACTTATATAATTCAATTCCAACAACACGTATTCTCTATATACATTCTCTTATATCTTTATTAAAGATTCAATTAACACTTAGTATGGGCTTTTGGGAATGGACTACAAGAGTTAGGACGGTTGCTTTAGCCATTTTATTTGCTGCATATCTCTGTTCGGTCATGGATTGTTTGGTCTGACTATCAATAAGCAATAAGACACACATTCCTGCGCATGTCACTGTCCTCCTACTTCAACTCCAGTACTTTCTCGCTGCCTAAAAGATTACAAGCACCTCTTGCGTCAGTCCATCGAATGCGCGTTGTATTGCTTACTTTCGCTTCATCTCTCCTGATCTTGTTTGATATGAGAACGGAGGTTTAAACTTCTGATGACTGAGTCTTGGTTTCCTTCTGAGTTATCCATTATAAATTGAAGCGATTTGATTTATTTCCTTCTGATAAGATCTCACGTTAGGAGGTTATTTTTGAGGATTTTCTTTTTCATTTCATTATTCTGAGTTCTATATAATATATATATTTATATATGTAGTTTATATACTATAATGTCAATGATAATTGACTACTTGTTAATTTGTGAATTGAAGAGACTATTATGTTGTGTTCTTATTATCAAACCGCCTATATTTGTGCCCTAAAAAATATTATGTGAACAAATTATTTCCTTTGTTTTTTTTTTTTTTTTTTTTTTTTTTTTTTTTTTTTTTTTTTTTTTTTTTTTTTTTATGGTTTGAGCAATGGAATTCAACCAATAATTTGATGGTAATTGTTTTGACAAGTCAAAAATCATGGAGACAACTAATTTGAGAATGATGGAGGCATGGTCCATGGACCATTAATGCAATGAATATGAATCACTAATATGGGAAGGAGGAGTTTCAACCTTGATAGTACATAAAAAATCTATAAAAAAAGCTAAATTTATTTGGTTTACTCACTAATACGAGGGGCCGTGAAGTTTCAATTTTAAATCCCCTCGATCAAGTTATATAATCCATTGTGTTATTCAGTCAAAAGTGTTCTCAGTCCACTGAGCTAAATCTAATCTTGATTTAGTTATATATATAGTTATGTTGAGTATATTCTCCAAGTTTAATTCTCCCTTTTTTTCCAAATGCTCAAATGCAAAACATAAAAAAGTATTTATAAGATCTCCACCACCTTGCTTTTGGCTCCTCCACTAGTCTATACATAGCATTTTGCATGAAAATGGTGCTACAAATTTCATCTAGTCTTTTACCATGTCAAAAAAAAAAAAATGTTGATTCATAGTCAGCACTACAGTTAAAAATATATAAATAAATATATGAATATAATTATAAAACTTTGCAAAAATCAACTTATTAGGACATTTTTTCAATTCATTATGATCATGAGATGCACACTAGAATAACATTGTTGACTTCAATCAAACTAAATATATTTGACTAAATTGTTTCAAAAAAAATGATTGGCTAACATAATCGTTTAATTAAGAAATAAAGTGGATAACAAAGTGCTATTTTATATTAATTTTAATAACAACACTAAAGAGTTTATATTTGTAAAATAGAAAAATATTTCTATGCTCTAATTTTAATCAAATTTAAAAAAAAAAAAAAAATGTAAGATGGAAGCAATCCTGGCCAATTAAAAACTGAATCAACTCATTGATATTTATGTGCAATTGTGGACCATCAAACATAAACATCAACAAAAAGAAGTGAATTCAATTTCCAAATAGGATTGAAGAATCATATTCACAAAGAAGTCAATTTTTTTAATGAATCTGAAAGGTAAGAAAGGGCAAATTCTGCATGTACGGCTGCCCCAATAGGAAACACATCCTCATCAACTGTAAAGTAAGGGCTATGCGGTGGATGCACGCATCCAAGTTTCTCATTTCTTATCCCTAAAAAAAGGAAAGATCCAGGAACCTTTTCCTGATAGAAAGCAAAATCTTCACTTCCCATGAAAGCAGGAGCTACTTGAGTGTTCTGTTCTCCAACTACATCAATCGAAACTCGCCGGACATGTTCATAAATTTTAACATCATTTACAGTTGGAGGAATTGTGGGATTCCCATTTCCTGTGAAATCAATTTCAGAAGAACATCTATGTACAGCTGCTTGCCCTTTAATTACTTCTTCTATTCTCTCTCTAAGTGCATGGAAACCCTTCTTGCTGAAAGCCCTGAAAGTTCCTGATATTGTAGTTGAATCTGGTATCACGTTAAAAGCAGTACCTCCATTGATCATTGCCACAGAAACCACCTGTAACAAGTAGCCATTCATTAGAACTGTAGTGTCTTTATTTTCTGTTACTGCAAGAAAAACAAATTGAATATATATTATTTTATAATGTGATTTTGACATGTTTTTTGTCATAAGAGTTCAAAAATATTAAACAGCAATTTCAAAAGTTCTAAAGTCAGATACCCTTTTCAACATCCAAAATGATAGGTTTAGCTTGGCGTAAGGCCAACGTGCGCACAAGGAAGTAATGGGACGGTGGGGCGGTTTTGGTTTATACTCACCCCATTTCTACCCTGAGATAACCCCACTATAAAAGAAAATTTCGCCGCGCCTCAAATATTGAAAGACCATCCGTCTAATATCCGGTTTCATAATGCTTATTGTAGAATTTTAAACAGTGTACATAGAAAAACAGGGTACCTGAGAATCTAAAGGATCCGTCTCCCTTGAAACAATTTGTTGCAAACTAATTACTGAAGCTGAAGCAGCCAAAATTGGATCAATAGATTGTTGAGGAACAGCTGCATGACCCCCTTTTCCACTTATTTTTGCAGTGAAACCACCGCAGCCGGCAAGAAATTCCCCAGGCCGTGAAGCAACAGCTCCCGTAGGATACTTTTGAACCAAGTGCAAACCAAAAATGGCCTCCACATTATCAAGCACTCCTGCTTCAATCATGGCTTTTGCTCCTTCCCCTTGTTCCTCTGCTGGCTGAAATATAAGCACAACAGTTCCCTGCATTTACATTCACTACCCGCTTAACTAATTTTAACAATTTATTCCATACATTGAATTTTTTTAGAAATTGAAGCTTGAACCATAATCTCCAGCGATTGAAATACAAACTTTTAATTACCTGCAACATATGTCTTAATTCTTGCAGGATTTTAGCTGCTCCAAGAAGCATTGCGACATGTCCATCATGGCCACAGGCATGCATTTTCCCATCTACTTTACTCTTGTGCTCCCATTCAGTCAATTCCTATATATTAGCATAACTTTTTGTAATTTAGTGGTGTTTATGAAAATCAACCAGACAATTAAATTTCGTATCAAACAACAATAACAATAATGACAACAAAACATTAATCCCAAATCACTCACAAGACAAATAACTTAAATTGAATTCCCCACCAAATTCGTATATAATTTTATATTTTTGAATTTTCAATAACTATTCCATACCCTTTTTGACATAAGGACTAATCTATTTTTAGGCTACCCTTCTCTGTAAGTGTTTTTCAACGGATCAAACTCTGACCTTACATAAATCAGAGCTTGAACTCTCTGTAAAATTCTTTTCAAGCGATGAAACCTGATCTTACAAAGATCGTCGCATTTCACTTCAGGTACTCCTTATGGGTATATAATTCAATTTTATATTTACGGAAACAGAACAGACCTGGATAGGCAGAGCATCCATATCAGCTCTTAAGGCAACAAAGGGTGGCGAACCAGACCCAATAGTCGCCACTACACCAGTTTTAGCGACGGGCCATCGATAGGCAATACCAAGTTGATCGAGTTCATGCCTGATTATCTTACTCGTTTCGAATTCTTCAAATGCAAGTTCTGGGTTTTCGTGAATTTTTCTCCTAATATCCTTCATCCAATTCACTGTATCTGGGTCATTAGCAAGCTCAACTGCCCTATCTTTAATGGAAGCATTTTCAAGAATTGGAGATTGCAAGTTCAAAGAAAAGCATAATGGTATGACTATGGAGATCAGGAGAAGAATATGTAGAAGAGGGGCCATAGCAGAGGAGTACCTGTGGCTGGCACTTTATGTGAGTTGTATTTCTATCTCATCTTAACCCATCGTGGTGTGATTTATACATGCATATCCTTTTACTGTTTCAAAATCAAGTCACGTTTTTATTTCTTCTTATTTTTTGAAATTTGTGATTCAAATTTAACCTTTTTTATTTTTAAATGTAGAGGACATTTTTAGAAAATTAAAATAACATTAATTATTTTATTTCAACTTAATTATTGCTTAGAAATTTATATTAAATTAGGTGAAGGCTCACGCTATGCACATGTTCCTTTCACTATTTATAATTTATAAATAAATACAAATTAAAAATATATTTTTTCTTTAAGTTATTTTATTGTTATTGTATTTTTTTGAAAACATATTGTTATTTTATTTTATAATCGCGTTTAGTACATTATTAAAATATTTATTTTTCCAAAGGCTGTTTATTAGGTAGATTATGGTGTTACAGAAATTGTAATGCAATTAACTTATTTTAAATAATTAAAATTCAATTAGTCATATTTAGGTTTCAGTTAAAGTTTATAATTCAAACAATTTAAACATTTTATCTTATCATAAATAATTCTATATAATTAGTCCATATTTTAGGTTTCAGTTAAAAGTTTAATAATTCAAAACAAATTTAAACATTTTAAGCTTAATCACTCAAATAATATTCATAATAAGATTAAAATATTAACATATTAAAATAATTTATAACTATGTATAATCTAGATAAAAAAAAGTATTATTTTTTATTTAATTAGTAAAATACAATTTAAATTTATCTTAGGTTTATTGAGATTATGAAGTTCTTTATAATCTCAAACCAATTTAAATAGTGTATGTTATCTAAAGATAAATATTATTTTTAATTTTAATGTAGTAATATAAATTTTAAATTAATGCCTAGGTTTAAAGTTTAATAATAATTCAATCACCAATTTAAACATTGTATCGTATCATCTTAATAACTAATGATAGACGTAATAGTGTGTTAACGATTCAAAATAAAATTAATATGAAATAAATATAATAGAAAATAAGTTATTTTAATTTAAATTACCTTAACAAGAAAAATAAAATATTAATTAATTAATATTATCTAATAAAATATAAGAAAAATGAAATAAAAAATCTTTTAATATTTGCATGAAAGATCTATCAATTCCAAAATAAGAATATATTTTAAAGTTTAATTTTAAATATATATAATATAAAATATCTAGATTAAAAAAATAATGAATGATTTTTTTTATACACCCAAAGAAATATATATAATTTAAATAGATTAAAAAATATGAAGTTTTATACCAAAGAAAGTTATAATTATATATTATTTAAAAAATTTAAAAAAAATTAAGAATTTTGAAAACATGATTTTAGACTGTAAATAAAATTTTAAAAGAGGATTCATAGAAACTCCTATGCTTATTAATATTTTTTGTAAAAACAATTGGGTCCTATTTTTTTTTTTTTTTTCAAACTTACTCGCTAAATTAATAAAAACTCTCATTCTAAAAAATGATGAATCCCTTCCTTGTGCCCAATTAGTTATGATATTACATATTTGATGATATATTCTTTTACATGCTGCTCCAAACGCGACTTCGAAACCACCCCAAAGGCGACTTTGAAAATTCTACTAATAATGATAATAAAAATATTTAAGTTGACGTCCAATCACACTTATGGAAATGGTGTTAGGTAAGTACTGATTCTCATGTTTCATGTTTGATAATTTTATTGAATGGTTCCCATTTTGACGTGGAAGCTCTGCGACTGCTCATGCTCATGCCAACGCCTGCAGCACGCAATGGATTTGGATTTTTCCACCGGAGACTCTGAGTTGGACTGGACACCACCACATGATCTTCAGAATCAATTATAGTTGTTTCTACACGTCACTTCACCTTTTCATCATATGCCAAATTCCACCACGTGATATAATCGCTCAAATCAACAGAAATTTGATTTTGATCAGTTTTAGCCGTTTCCTTTTGAAAATCAACTCTTAATTCGATCAAATTCTTTCCATCTTATTCAACTTTTCTACTTCTACAAGTAACAATCAACTTCTAATCGGATTGTTACTTGTACAAGTAACATTAATTCATAATGTGGTTGTCATATAATATTGGAGCTCCACCGTAAAATTTTTCACAAATTCTATAATTCACAATGTTGTTTCCGGCGTTGGAGTTTTCCAATAAATAAATAAAATTTATTTTTTCAAATATAACTTCTAACGACCAATAATAAACTATGTATATGTAATTATGTAGGTTAGATTCCAAACATGGAAAATAAATGAAGCGTGTATAAATCGACAAAGAAAATCTAGAAAAGCGATTTTCTTATTTGTTGAAAACAAACACAAAAAGATAATAAGTACCAAGTACGAGGAAGAGGTGACGTGGCTCTTGTTGTGCCACATTCACCTTGGGTGAAAAATATAATTTTGAAGAAACACGAAAGTGTGGAAATGCGGATACATACAATCAAAACTTATTCGAGTTTGTGGGTCTTTCATTTTCAAGGTGTGAGTTGTGAGTTTGCCAGGAAATGGCATCATTTACAGCTATATAAATCTTTCACATGTTTTTCACGTTCTTTAGGTGAAAAACGTGCTTTTTTCTATTTATTTTTCAGAAAAGAAAATTTTATTACGGTCATGGAATATCTGTACTGTTGGTAGAGCGGTTGGGTATTGGATTCTCACTCTCGCTTAATTAAGTTTTTCATATTAGCTGATAGCTAGTTGTTAGATGGTATTTTTGGTAACGGTCACTGTCAATTGATATAATTTTATACAATGTTAATAATAGTTACAACAATATGAATAAGGATTCTCAATTAGGTCTTGTTTGACTTAGCTATTTGTGTTAGTTGACAACTGCGTTTTAATAACAGTTGGAAATTATTTACTTGAATCGGATTCATAGCTCCATTGTCAACCAACTCAATAAAACTGAAAATTATTTAAAAACTTTATCTTTTTTTTTTTTTTTTTTGTTAGCTTTTGTGTTAAGTTGACAACTGCCGTTTTAAATAACAGTTGGAAATTATTTACTTGAAATCGGATTCATAAGCTCCATTGCTCCAAAACCAACTCAATAAAAACCTGTAATAAATTATTTTTAGAAAAGCTTATCTTTTTTTTTCTTTTTTTTTGAATGTATAGGAAGTGACTCAGAAAATACTTTGATTTTCAATAATGAATCTTTTTAAAAACATAGAGTCTTTTAGATGTAATTTCATTATATAGAATTTGATCTATACAATAAACGCCATAAACCTGTAACCTATCGAGTGTAAAATATCATTAATACATTACTTTGAGAGTAGAAGTTATAATATTTATGAACAATTTATATTAATAAAACCTTTATGATTTCCACTCAGTTTAAAATAATTGCCGTTTATTGATAACTTTGTTCTCTAAATTAAATATAAAATTAAAAACATCAAATGCTATTTTAATTTCTTAATAATAATAACATTTTATAATCGCAAGGTAACGTTTTTTGCTTATAATAGGCCTTCCTATAATTGGTTCCACTCTCCTAAATCGAAACAATTGCAAGCCTTTTAAATATTCCTAACCTCCATTTTAAATTAAATTTTGGTCTTTCTTTTTTAGTTATGTTCTTTATACTTTTATCGTATTGTGTAATGTCATACATATTTCTGACAAGAAAACATATCAATTTATTCCTTATCAATCGGTAACGTTTTCACACACCCCCCAAATCTACAGTGCAGGTGATTGAAGTCTACTTCACAAATCCTAGATATTGGGCTACAAAGCATACAAAGTAAATTTCAAAAAAAACTTTATTTTTTTTTTTTTTTTTTGAAGTATATGATCAGAAATACTTTGATTTCAATATGAATCTTTAATTTCATTTTATTAATTTGATCTATAAATAAAGCCATAACCTTGTAACTATCGAGTGTAAACATTATAATTATTTATATAAATTATAATATTATGAACAATTTATATTAATAAAACCTTATGATCCTTCAACTCAGTTTTAATAATTGCCGTTTTGATAACCTTGTTCTAAATTAATTATAAAATTAAAAAAGCAATCAAATGCTATTTAATTTCTTAAAAAAAAAATTTATAATCCAAGGAACTTTTGCTTATTAGGCCTTCTATATTGTTAGAACTCCTAAATCGAAAAATTGCAGCCTTTTAAAATTCTAACCTCCATTTAATTTAAATTTTTGTTTTTGTTATGTTCTTTACTTTTATCGTATTGTTTATTCATAATATTGACGAAACATATCAATTTATTCTCTACAAATCGGACTTTCCACCCCCCAAAATCACAGTGCAGTGATTGAAGTTAGCTATCAACAAATCCTAGATGGGCAAAAGTACAAAGTATTTCAACGGAAAAGAAGGGGCGAATCTAGAGCTCTCCATGAATAAATTATGCAATTTACAGATATTCTTGCAGGAAGGAGATAAAAGGGAAGTATACAATAAAAACGGCCATTGTCATCCTCCGATACAAGCTGAAGAAATAGAGCATTTGCACTTCATCATCTATTGACACATCGTCAAGGCCTTGTTTAACCATCAAAACAAATTTATGATTGCAGACACGGAGATTATGCATCAATCCTGTTATATGACTCAGCTTCCCGTATCCATCTAGATAAACATACCAAAATCAATTCATATATGTATAGCAATGGTGGGAGATATATCGACGAAAGAGCATATGTAGTAGATTTTTACCATATTTTAGCAAGGCTTTCTCTTGTCAACTTTTAAGTGAATATTGAACCATTTCTTTTTCTTGCTTCTATCCCTAATTGAAGGTTTCTTATCTCTCAGTTGTCCGTCTTCTTTGGCCTCCCTAGGTGAACTCTTACTTCTGCTCTTACTTGTGCTCCGCTTCATCGGTGGAGCAGATGTGTATGAGGCATGAATTTCATTCCTTTGTCTAAGAAGCTCATCAATCTGCAAAAATAATACAAAGACTGTAGTTCAGACACTATTGATACACTTAAAAATTTCAAACCTACGCATGGAGCACAGAAATATAATGATTTATAAACTAAAAAATATGAATTTATAAGATTTGACAATATCGGGAAAATGTTTTACTCTCTCAAAAATGCAAAGTTATTTTTCTTAAAAAATGACTTAATTTTCCTTTGACCGGGAAAATATTTTCCGTTAACTTATTTTCCTGAGTGCCCCAAATAACGGAAAATTGTGAAAAAGATTTTCCTGCAAGTTATTTTATGGAAACAAACGGAACCTAAAACTCACTTCTTGCATTTCTTGTGCATATCTGCTGGTCATTTCTGTAAATTGTGCCAAGACCTGTGAAAATTCCATGTGAAATTTAGCAGCAAAAGGGGAATGATTACGCATGATATGTACTGCTCAAGTCAAGTGTAGACCTCTCTATATTCACTTTCAAACTTGGATATTTCTATCCTTTTTTCAAGAACTTGAGCTTCAACATCTCGCAGATTTATCTTCTCTCCTGCAAATGGTGCAGCACAAAGAGCTTCTATTGAGTAGCTTGCACTTTTGAAAAAATTGTCACCTGGAAGAAATGAGACAGAATATGAAGACTGCAGTCAATTTCATCAAAATATATAATCAAGAACCACAGCAAACTGAAGTGAGCAAGAAATCCTAGAACTGACCATAGACAGCAAAAACATGGGTGCCAGCCTTAAGTTCAGTTATTTCACATGGCTGAAACCCATCCAATTTCTTGAAGAAGGCAGCATCAGCATCCTTTGCAGCTGCAATCTGAAGCCACAACAATTCCAAAAACCAAATGGAGAACAATGAGTAACACAATCTTAACATAAAAAATATGATTGCAATCCTTCGATAATATCAAATCCTTCTATAACATCACCAGCTCACCGAGTTGACTGCCTGATCAAACCGATAAACAGGGAAACAAAGAAAATACATTCCAGCAGATGTAACCTTTCCTGTTTTAGCACTGTCCTCCTACATCCAAAAATTATTAAGTAAAAAAGAGGTTGAGCTGATGAAATTTAATATGTTTAATATCAAGTTAAAATCAACTAGATGCAAGCTTTTATGGTATGACATCTAGGCCAAGCCAAGAGTCATCCTGGGACATGTATCATCAATTTAATGTAAAAAAAATTTTTATAGCCGTTAATCCCTAATTCCACGAAAGAAATTTTCACAGTTACCAGACTGAATTGGAAAATTTTGAACCTGAATAAACTCACAAGCACATTCTAACAGCAGAATCAATATAAAAACTACTTTGTGATTACTTATCAATGAATAACCAGTCAGGAAGTTGGGCATCGTTTGATGATTGAGAAATAAGCACAAGTTTTAAATGTGAATCAAAATACTGGGTCTTTACATTCTTTTTTTTTTTTTGCATAGAAGAGATTTTTTAAATGTTGTTTACTGACAGAGATAAACGGAGAAACCAAAACATTTATCTAAGGTAGAAGGACAAAAGTAAAGTGCGCAAAAGACTGAATGCAGGCAGAAGATTCCTACAAAGAACCTCTTGAATAACAGCTTGTCCTTCATTTTAATGGGGGATCTAGAGACTGACACTTGATAAAAGAATAAAACTCAATATCAATAGTGCTGAGGAGGATATCTACATATCCAGAGGACAATCTCCTAACAACTGCATGCATTTGCAGACACCTCCAAAATTCTGTCAGAGACTTGATAAATGAAATGAGCCATGACATACTTTAAGATCCATCTAATACTAGAATAAGCAACAATTCTTGAAAAGTGGGATATTAACTATAAAATTAATATCCATAATAAACAAGGGAGTGCTTAGTACCTGTAGAGCAAGGCTCAGTCCACCGTTTTCTTCCTGGTCAAAATACAATAACTGCAGCAAGATGAATCAGTAATGTTAATGGCCACTGTTCATGAATAGAAAAAGTTAGAACCAGAGCGACATTTTAGTACATGATCAGTTGAGAAATAGTTGTAGTAGAAACCCGTAGGAAATGGATGAAACAATCATTTGTGCATCTGAAAATGGTAGGATCAGAAACCAAGACGCCATAACCAATTAAAGCACCAGTAATCAGAAGAAAAATTAGAGTAAAGATGTCAAATACTTCGGTGATTTTCATTTCTCATGCTCTTCCATGCAACATTGTAAAAAATTCAATTTACATAAACTGCACAGATAACAATCTGCTCTTATATTTAAAGCAACTGGGAAACAAGCAACTAAAGAATGTCCTTCAGAGTTTCAAGCTATAAGCATAAAACCAAAACTCTTACTACATCCTCAAAGAAAAGAAAAATAATGACAGTGCTGAAAGGACACAAAGAAAAGCAAAAACAGCAGAAAACTTCCAAAGAATCCAAGAAAATCACTACTGACCAAGGGAAATACAAAATCACAAGGACCATGAACAGATGAACTGAAATAAATGTTCCAGAAAATTTCTTTCAGTATCGCCTAAGGAAGTTTTATATCTTTCTCTTCTGCTCCCTTCGATGAAAAAGATACTTTACAGTCGCTTTAGTTACCTCCCTTTATAATTTATACACTGCCCACCAACAGCACCAAGCACCAAATAATTTGTCTCACGAAGAAAATCAAAATGCCAAAAAACTCACAGACCCTAAAATTCCTGACAATCAATTAACCCCAGCATTGAGTCATTGACCACAATCATATGGATTAGCTACTTTAATCCTTTTTGCCACTTTTAGCCATATTGATTCTTATACGTATTGCCACATTGCAAAAGTGCCATTAACAGAAAGCAACAAAATAATGGACCTTGATTGCAGATTCTCTCATGGACTAAACTTCAAATCATGAAATCCATATTTCAGCTCTCTCATTCTGCATTATTATATCCCAAAATACGTTTTCAATGGCATTTTGCCCCCATCCAATTCTCATTCATGAAGATATTTTTACAAACCTGAGGTTCCAATGCACCAAAAACCAGAATAAAAGTAAAAAATTCTCAAGACATCTCTCATTACATGGCTTAATATGAACAAGGCTAAGTCCCTACATCAAAGCAGCCAAATACAAATTTTCTGATAAATAGTAGGATGTATTTCCTGGCCTCAAATTAAACCAAAATTTTGGTAGCAACATAATACTTTTGCACAGAACAGCTTCACAACACCATAATGCTTAACTTGCACATACAGCTCTATGATAAAAGCACCCACACAATTTTGCCAAGCAATTTTTGAAGCTGTTTCCTGAAATGGCTTTCTTAATCAGCAGAGATCCCCATGCAACTTACAACCCAAAGCTGATTGTGGATTAGAACATGATCTCAAAGAGTGACATAAAATGTATTCAAAACTATCAAGATTAGGAAAAAAAAAAAAAGAAAGCATACCAAACAAGAGTCCCACCCTTAAAACAGCATCTATTACGAGCGATTGGAGACCTACACTGTCGCTCTCGCTACATAGCATAAGACTTTCCTCAAGAAAAAAAGAAACTAATATCCCATCCTTTAAAAGAATACATAAAAAAGAGTAGAAAAGACATTAAATTCAGTACATGTCCATGTTGCATTGTGAATGAAGTAGGGAAGATCATGGATCGGGTTCGGGTCGGTTTTGCAATATCCATACCGACATGCCCAGCATTAGATCAGGTCGGGTGCAGGTCGGACTACTAGATATTTGTACCTGCTTCATTTATAAATGGATCGGATTTTATCCGGTAGATTTGGGATGGGTCAAAATAACCATCCCTAGAAGGGAGTTCTGATAAAATACTTGTACCAGACGTTTATTATATATTCAAACCTTGAATTTGCTTTTGTCAGATGATTGCACTCGACAGACAAATCCAGCTCTTGCTTCCTCTTCTGTTATTGTTACAGAGTAGAAGTGAGCACATTGCTTTTCAACCTGCTTAAAAAGGAAACAGTTTCCAATAAGCCCCAATGGATTACTCAAATTTTTAAATGCTTTAGAATTCAAATACCTAACCTTTCTAGTAATAGATTGCCCAAGTGGAAGTGGACGAATAGAGACCACACCGTTAAGTGCCTCCTCCAAGACAGTTGCTGATACAGTGGTCTTAATTGGCACACCAAGTTTACTATTATTTGAGAAACAGTGAATAAATCAATAAAGACACACAATAAAAGAACAGAATTGTTAGACAGAGAGACAGATAATCCAATGGATGAATGAAAATGCAAAAACTAAACACCAATCTACCTAAAGAGTGCTGCGAACATAGTGTTCACAGTGCCCAAGCTTGAAAGATCTAGCTCCAATTCTTGACTTTCTGATTCAACAGCCTGACAAAAATAAGCTTATGATTAATGCTACTGTCACATATAACATTAAACATCAATATAATCAAATGATTTAAATTCTACCAAATAGCATGTGTTAACAAACTGCCATAAATAATTAGCATGTTTGGAGCCTAGGCTCAGAAGCTGCAGAAAGAAACACATTGCTCCAGAAAGAACACAGATGACCTTATCATCAGTGTGAGGATTGCAGCAATGAGATTATAGGATCAATAAATTGGAATTAAATAATGAGGTGTAACAATTAGTTAAGCCTAGTTGTTGGACAATTACGAGTGTTGGTAGTTTGTTAATACTGGTAAGCATAAATATACAGGGAGATGATTTTTCCCATTTAAGCATGAATACATTAAACAATCAATTTCTCTACTTCTCTGTTTTCTTTTCAATTCTCAACTATTTTCCCTCTCTTTTTCTTCCTTCCTCACTTACCAAACAGCTAGCTAGGCTAAGGGTTGTAACATTTATTTCTAAATGTTAGTCATCTGGCAACTGTGCTGATATCTCACCTCAAAACCAGCTGAATCATACTGGCGTCGTTTGTCTGGATCAGACAAGATAGTATAGGAAAATGTAACTTCTTTAAACATATCAGCTGCTTCAGGATCATTAGCATTCTTGTCAGGATGGTACCTGAAATAATATGTAATTATCATTTAAGAGAACTTAGACCTTGTTTAGCAAAGGAGAACATTTTGTGGAGATAGGAAATAAAACATATGAATATGTAGAACGCTAAACGCATGATCTATTATATCATCTGAAAACAGAAAAGAACCAGCTAAGCATGAGATTTAATTTATAAACCATGTGCGATTAATGTGTTGAATATCTGTAAATGCTAAAATATATGGTTGCACCAACTTTCCATAATGTTAACCATATTGGGAATCTGAGGACTGAGGTGGTTAAAGCTTCACATCATAATCTTCCAACTATTAACTAAACATTCAGTCATTCCAAGCTAGTCAAGCATGTATTTTTATCATATATATATATATCTTCTGACTCAATGCAACCATTTTCCTTTCACTTCGCCGTGCTTCACTTGAAGCTGCATAGGTTTTACCTTGCATTTTGCCACATCACGTAACAAGCTCCTGCAACAACACTTAGATAGCTCAGCTATATGTCAATGTGACAGTATATCTCCATACATCTTTTTCCTACATATTCACTTTCCTAGTCGTGCCCTACGTTTAAGCTTGTAAGCACACAATAATCAATCAAATTAGTCATTGGTATTGTAGATGTTTCAAATTTGATTTCACTAGTAAGTCACTTTTTGTACTACCCTCTCCTATTTGCGATCTCCCGAAATTTGATTTCACAAGATGATACGTACTCAAGAGTACCCTTAAGTTAATGACCTCACAAAATCAAATGGCAAATAAGTACATTGTTAAGCTTCTCAAAACTGCATAAAAGCAGTAAGATATACAATATTCTCTGCAAATGGTATTCTAGAATCCACTGACATCATGAACCCGTCATACACTTCAAATCCACAAAATCAGCAGCCTTCATTCCCACTCCAAGTTCCCACAATTCAGTGCAAATCACCCAAATCCCAGATCAGAGTAATTCTCTCTTAGCAAACTCAAGCTGTTTTATTGCCAAGGGATCAACTACCATATCGTTTCAGTCCGGGAAATGAGTAAAATGGAGCTAAAATTTTAGTTCTCAGTCACCCACTCAGTCCTCATTGAACTTACAATCGACAGTCACCGGTGAAAAACAGCAACGGAGTTGCCGAATGTGTTAACGTTTACAACTTGTTTCTCCTAGAAATTAAATAGAACAAATACCCAATTAAATTTCAATTCCAACACCGATCCAGTCAATAACAAGCACTTCGAGAGTTCAACTAAAAAAGAATCCCAAGAACTTTCAAAAATAAAGAGAGATGAGAAAATGCCAAAAAAAATTTAAAAAAAAAAGTTCAAACAAAAAATAAATGAAAAAAAAAAATGACATACTTGAGAGCCATTTTGCGGTACGCGCTCTTGATTTCCTGGTCGGTGGAGTTCCTGGATACGCCAAGGACCTCATATGGGTCCCGCCGGAGCTGCTTCGACTCATCCAGGCTCTCCGGCCTCGACCGGCGAGCTGGCATTTCCAAATCAAATGCTAATATTTAAATTCAAATATTTGCAGAAAAAGGAAAAAAATATCTTCCTCTCAAATTCCGGTAGACTTTCCCGGAATTTTGGTTTAGCAAGTTAAGGGCATACAGAAACCCTAGAGAGAAGACTCCATGGGACCTCTTCTGAGCTGGAGCTGTGAAGAAGAGAAGAGAGAGACAGAGACAAGTGAACGAGAAAATGGAGGGGAAATTAGGTGTAAATTTTTGTTATTTTGTAGTCGCCCTCAAAAATTTCAAAAAACGGATATCCTCATTTGATAGAGAGGGCCAGTACACGCGGGAGGCTGCGATTCGATCTGGTCTTTGGCGTGGCACGTCAAACCTTTCTTGCTCTTGTGGCTTTGCTTAACATGCTTGGGTCAAGGAAAAAATGTTGAAAAGCTTTTCTTTCTATTTCACCGTATCTATTTGTATTTAATTGAATTGTACTATTTTATTTATAGACTTTATGGAAACGGCCATTTTCTGGTATTTCTTTTTGTTTAATGATTTTTGTTAATATTTGAAATTATATTAATTTTAATGGTACGAAGACAGTATATTTTAAATGAGTTGAATATAAATATTAATATTCTAAATGAATTCAGAGTGTGAATAATTCAACATTTGTGGATATCTAAACTTTTGTCATTCATGCATGTTTGTCATTCATTTTTTTGGGATTTTTTTGAAATGATAAATGATTGAGTAGGTGAGGATTTTATAAATAAATGATTAATTCCAATATAACCATCCTTAAACAATACATTTGCCACCGAGTTAAGATTTTAGTTTTTCATATTAAATTCTTAGAAATATTATCACATCATTGGAATGTTCTCACACAAGTCAGCAAAACTTCAATTTCCATGTGAGAATGACTTTTTATTCTGATAATTGAGTCCTGTTTGTTTGACAAAAGTTGAACTTAGGAAAATACACCAAGTCAAAAATAAAATGACATAGCTTTCAATTTTTAAATAATTATTTAGGCTTTTTTTTTGTAAAAAAAATAATTATTTTAATAGCCTTGAGTTTGTTTTAGTAGTTATCAGAAATTAATATAAAGTATAATCGCTAGGCCGTCAAAATATTAAGTATAATAGACATATTATTTTAACAAATTCATAATACTAAATGCTACATGAAATTTAAGTTGGGAGTAGAAAATAAAAACAATACCTAAATTACTTGTCTTATATTTTTATTAGGATAAATTACTTTGAAAAGTCTTGACATAATTGCACTTTACAGTAGTTTGTTTGAATAACATTAATCAATAGAATTTCTTAAAATGTTAGATAAACTAAAAAAAAAAAAAAAAAAAACTCAACACAAGTCAGCAAAACTTCAATGTCCCATGTGAGTAATGACTTTTTTATTCTGACTTTCCAAGTTGAGTCCCTGTTTGTTTCAACAAAAGTCTGAAACCAGAAAAATAACAATCGAATAAGGTAACCAAAGTCCAAAAAATAAAATGACATAGCTTTCAATTTTTTAAATAATTATTTAGGTTTTTTTTTTTGTAAAAAAATAATTACTTTTAATAGCCCTTGAGTCTCGTTTTAGTAATGTTATAGGCTAGAAATTAATATAAAGTCCTATTAATTCGCTAAGGGCCCGTCAATATTAAGTATAATAGACATATTCATTTTCAAACATAATGCATAATAGCTTGTAAAGTGCTACAATGAAGCACTCTTAAGTTGGGAGTAGAAAATATAAACAATACCTATATATTACACTTGGTAGTTATTGAATTAGGATAAATTACTTTGAAAAGTCTTACATTAATTGCACTTTACCAGGTAGTTTGTTTTGAATCTACAATTAGAGTGAGGATTTCTTAAAAATGTTAGATCTAAACATTAAAAAAATAAAAAAAAAAACAGTAGAGAATATTTATTTAACAAGTAACAATTCCTCGACCTAAATTGAGAGAATACCCTTATCGCAATTCCCTCTTACTTCTTTATTTTTTTTACTTATCTCTTGAATTTAATATTACGTCCAAACAATTATTCTCAGTTTTTTTTATTGTAAATTAAAATTTGATTCATACTGAATGAATCATTTATTCTTTCCATTCGGCTGAGAATTTTAAATTTTTCTCTTACGAGGAAGCTAAAAACCAAATACGGATGATTGACGACCTATAAAGAGGCACTTGATATGTCGGAAATCTAATAATAGAAAAGTGATTTGAAGAATTTTTTTTTTTTTTTTTTTTTTTTGAAAGAGTTGATTTTTTTTTTTTTTTTTTTTTTTTTGAAAGAAGTTGATTATTGAATTTACATGTTTGATTAGTATGGTATGTAGACATCATTTATATTTTCTCATTTTAAGTGGTGGGAGAGTTAGATTTCCATAAAAGATAAAGACAATTTAAAAAAAAAAAATTATTATTATCTAAACACAATAATTTAATTTTTGTACAAAAATTTTTTTATTTTTTGAAAATAATTTTTTATATAAAAGCTGAATTTTGATAATCAAGAAATATGGCTTGTCTCAAGCGCTAAAAACAAATACTATTTTGTTCTAAAAACAATTACTATAAAAAGAAATACGAATTCTTAAAATAAGACGTCCGGCACTCTCCAAAAAAAAAAAAAAAAAGATGCACTCCTCCAAAAAAAAAAAAAAAAGAGATCCAGCAATCGTAGTAACGCGCGCGTTAAGGCCGCGAGTACATTAAGGCCGCAAGTTGGGGGTGCGTAATGCGCACAGCTATCTGGAATTTAAATGAGGGATTTGAATGAGAGCAGAAAAAGATTGGCGTAATCAAAGCTGAAAAGTTAATATATTAAATCGCAATTGGTGGGTGAACGGGGAATTTATTATTTTTCATTATTACATCATCATCACTTCGTAATAGTATTTCTTTTTTCTAAAAAAAAAGCCATTCTTTTTGTTTTTTAGTTATTTGACTTGTTTTTTTCTTTTCATTTTATTTACTTGTTATTTTTTTTGAATATTTTAAAATATTTACAAGATTTTTTAATTTATATTTATATAATTATTTTTTATTATATTTATATAATTATTTTTTATAATAATATTTATGATTGTTAATGACTTCTATTAATATCTTAATGAATAAATGGTAAAAAAGGTAAAATATATAAGTATTTTATCAAAACATGCAAACAAAATGAGACGAATGGAATGTAATTATTCATCTATTACATTAAATTTGTTGCTTTTTAATTTTATATAACACTTTTAAAATTTTAAGATAGCATTAATTATTTTATTTTATTTTTATTTTTTATTAAAATAAAAAAAAATAATTTTAGTTCTTCAATTAACTGAATTTAAGGAAAACATTAATCATCTCTTAATTAATTTGCGGCTAAAATTAAAAGATAGAAATAAATTGAGATAAATGAAGGTGATAAGAAGTGTTTTACAAAATAGTCATAGTATTCATTAAAGATAATAATAAAATTAAAATATTAATTAGCAGTTATTTTTAATTTTCCCAAAATGACAGATAAAAACTTTAGTAAAATAATTTAAAAAAAAATTAGAAATAAAAGTTGACAAAAGAGAGTATCAAATAACTTAAAATGCAATGTTTTTTATATAGCTTTTTAGCAATTTAAAATAGAAAGTGTATTGAAACTATAACCAAATTCCTTGCATTTGTGCACATAAGATATAGTTTAGTGGTGAGTATATATATGGTCTGATAATAGATTCAGATTCAAATCCCAGTATAAAAAAAAAAAAAAAAATCATTACATTTGCTGTTGTTAGTTGTCTTTTCCATTTTTTGGTAATCATTAATTTGGATGCATATATAATTATAATGTGGTGGTCACCTAGAAACCTCTTAACCTTACACTTTCAATGATATGAAAATTAATTGAGTGGAGCAATTAAAATGTGTTTTGCTCAAAATGTTCTATATATATATGATCACTATTTTATCATCAATAAATAACCATGAGCACAAGCGTTTATCATAATTTAAAAAAAATTAAAATATAAACTTATTTGTGGCAGACAGTTTCAAATATGGTGCACATTTACGTCATATATTTTAATTTTTTTTAGATTAACCAATGATTAATTTTTTTTTTAATTAATCTATAAATTTGTCATTAGTTGTTTGAAATCCAATGGAATTTATATAATTTCATGTTTGTCATTATTAGCCTTTTTTTTTTTTTTTAAAAAAATTGTCATTATTAGCTTGGCTTAAGCTTTGAACCTAGTATTGCTTTCTTCCAAAATTACTATATTAAAATTGGAATACACTATGTTGATTCTCTTTGGATTCTATGATAAAAAATTCTCACAGTTTACTAAGTGAAACTCATTAGTATTCTTCCTAGGGATAGGATTATCAAATATAATTATATAGAAATTACAATTTCTCATTCTTTTTCTTTTTCTTTTTCTTTTCTTTTCTTTTCTTTTTATAATAATTTGTTTCGAGTGGGTGAAAGTAACTAATACAATGCTTGGCAATGTGGTAATATTCTAGACAAGCACTAGCTTTCAAACAAAGTCTCAAGTCCTTTTCAATAATTTATATGTAGAAATCCCAAAGGAGAACCATTTATCCACCTAATTAATATTTTTTTTTTGAAAGAAAATGTTGGATTTTATTAGTCATCCAAACAAATTAACGATGAAACAAAAGACGGGAAATTACAAAATCAATCTCCCACATTCGACAAGGAACGAGATGCTTGAGCTAGTCAGTGAGCAAACTCGTTTGACGAACGATAAACATGCTTAAACTTAAAAATACAACCAGATTGTAATGATAACTGCCGAATAGAAACGATAATATCACCCAAAATCGAGCCATACATAAGCCCACTTCCCTGTAGAGCATTAATGATTGATAAGTTGTCAGATTCCACAACAATTTGATGCCATCCTCTCCCCTTTAACCAGCTTAACGCTTCTTTGATGGCCATTGCTTCTGCTTCAATTGGCCTTAAATAAGTTGTCAGATTCCACAACAATTTGATGCCATCCTCTCCCCTTTAACCAGCTTAACGCTTCTTTGATGGCCATTGCTTCTGCTTCAATTGGCCTTAAATTGGCCTCAAATTTGCCAACCTTAACACCCAGCAAAATTGCATCACTATCCCGTAAAACTGCCCCATAACCAGCACCAGTACCACCTGTATAAACAGCTGCATCCACGTTTAATTTGACCCAATTAAGTTCCGATTTTTGCCATTTAGACACAGCAGATGGTGTTCTACCTGACCCAGCAGCGGCCTTCAACCAATCAGACAGAAAACTCGAGGCTCTATGCCAAATCACCATCGGT